TTTTTTAACCCCACAGTGTTTTCGGTTTCTTATAAAAAAACCCCCCCCCCCCCCCCCCCCCCCCCCCCCCGAAACCGCCATAAACAGACCCAGACCCAATGCAAGATGCACATGCAGCCATAAGCGGCGAGCTCATATAGCCTTCCGGGCGCCGCTATCCCCTATATTCCCCTCTTTCCATGTTTGTTTATCCCCCCAACAACATCGTACAGAGCTTCCAGGCCGACACCTGAAGCTTGGTTCGAAGGACCAGCATGTTGTATATTCGAAACAGCAAGTACACAATCAGGGTCGAGATCCAGGGCTTTTATGATTATGATGAGAGATAACCATCTCACCATCTCACCATATCATAAGCGGACTTGTTCCGAGTCGTCTCCAGCAATAAAGACCCAGGCACCATCGACCGGACTCACTAGTTCTCTATCATCTATGGCCACATCAATATCGGTGACCATTGACACGGCATTGGCCCTGGGATCCGATACCAACGCCCAATCATCACCCTCTTCAGACTCTTCGTCGACTTCGTCCTCTTCTACATCGGAAACTAATTCGGGAAAATCGCTCGCCGCGGCTGGTCCGCGCGAGTGTGTGGCACTCTCAACGAGCTCTTCAATCATAGAGAGAGGCACGGCTGATACTCGGGGGACCTCGTATTCACCTCTATGTAACCATACGGGCACCTCGTCTCGTATGGACTCGAGGAAATGAGCAACAGCACTGTCCTCGGTAAGATACGTAGACAGTAGATTGACTGAAAGATGCAAATCCTCTTCTTTCAGTTGAGGGATATGAGTTTTCCTTGCCCGCTTTGCGGGGCGAATCGAATAGGTGGGTTCTGTATGCACGATAGCATCGAGGCAGAAGCCTGATCCGCGCACGTGTGGGTTATTGCTATCGCCGTCGTCATATAATATGCCTAAACGATAGAGCGCGACGTCGTCAATAGCGTCATCTTCCCAATTGTGAGGGGCACGGAAAGCCTCTTGTCGCTCGAGACGGGGCGTACGGCGTTGTCCTTCGCCGGATAACATGACGGTTGGATCAGACGCTAATCGGCGACCGTCTTCCCGCTCGTCACCATCCCATCCTATGCGGACTATATGTGTTTTCCGACGACATGTGATATGCTTTGGTCTTAACTGCTGTTGGCGAGTTTCCAGTCAGTGTTGTTCTTATGGGTGTGCAAACTGTCATGAAAGTAACGAGCTGGGATAACTCACAGATCCCTTGCGGATATAGGGCAAAGGTTTCAGCTGCTGCTCAGCCTTCAGACCATTGCGGTATCTGCGGCCAGTTATTGCTGGACTTGAGCCAGGTGCTAAGTACCTAGACTTAGGAGTATGACGAGGCGAGAGAATCATGATGTGTAATGCTAGTTTTATAGTACAACTCAGAAACTAGTGTTTTCTAGCCCGAGGCAGAGCTCATCAAGATACTTGTCAAAATAAGGGCGTAAGAGTTGGCCACATTCAGGCATGGAACCAGAAGCACGTGCGATTAGAGTGTTGGTGAACAGGGAAAGCAATGAAGGGCATCGAGGGAACAGTTGCCCTTTATTCTACTACGTGCTACATGTCTGATTGTACATATCGGTTACGCTGGATACCTAGCTGTTGGTGATTCAACGTTGCCGATCTAACAAGCTGACCGGGCCTGGATTTGAGGCGACGGAAGCCGAAGGCATGCCGTCGCTTTCAGCGTGTAAGTTGATTGGTCGATATCCTTGGCGACCAAGTCACTTGATGATCCACGCTTAGCTCACGACAAGGCAACCGTCGCAGCCTATGAGCAACAACTGTCATTGTATGGCGAGACGTATTTGTTGAAACGGGGGATGCAAGCTTGTGATTATGAGGAATTGCCCATAAGCGTCTGTTGGATTCCGTGACTCAATGCTTCTAATATTGGCAAAACTTAGTGTGGCGGTGGCCAACAACAGCTAAGCCGATGAATCTGTCTGATCACGAATGAAGCAGATTTGAGATGCTCCGAGAGATATCATATTAACTTGCAATGCTATAGTTATTACTTTCTTATTAGGTAGGAGCGCGAAGTTCCAGATTCGTCCAAAAGATGTTGTCTTAGAAAAGGGCCGAAGATATGACTCTTGTTGAATATTTTAGTGATACTACTGTACGTCATTGGGCTTGGTTGTGATGCCTAGTCGATCCAAATGAAAAGCCACAAAACTCCCATCTTACACTTCATGCATGCGGAGATGATCTAAGCTGATATATATCTGAGAGTCTGTAGTTTTTTACTAGGATACCTATTATTAACAAAATTTCCGTATTGATAGTAACGGGAAAATTCAAGAGCATGCCAAGTTGTCACGGTTAGGCTACTGTACTGAGTAGGTGATCTGAATCTGGGTATTGGAAGTACTAAGTACCCCTTGGTACCTACCTACCTAGGTAGGTACATAGGTAGCGTGTTGTACGTGGGGTTGTGTCCTCCTACTGTTATCGATAACATCTTCTGCCATTTTGCGATCAAGCTCCCAAACAATTGGACTCCTTCATTCAATTCTCAACGCAGTTCGCGATTTGACGATGCGAATTTGCTTCCACGCTTGCACCTCGAAATGGCAGCAGAAATTGATTCGATTGATCGGCCAGGCCGACATGACTTCCCTGCTACCCAGACATCTTCCAATGAGCCAACGTCAACACCGACCGCTGCAACATCGGTGGATTCTGATGCTAACAAGTCGCGGGACCGTAATGGCCAGCGGCATAATGGGCAATTCCGTGGTGGCAAGAGGGGCGACCGCGGGAGAGGGGGCAAACGCACTAGAGATTTTGGCCGCAATGAGAGAAACAAGTAAGTTGCCATCTTCATGGTTTGTTCATTCTAGAAGCCAGACCAACACTTACTAACCAGGACGCTACACTAGAGGCGCCGACAACGGCAAAGACTCGGTTGACTGGCGAGATCGGAAACGTAGGAAATTCGAGCGAGATGAAGAGAGTGGTCGCAACTCGGGGCCTAGCTACATGAAAATACAGTTTCCCGAAGATGAAATTGCAGCTGAGGAGCGTCGTCCAAAGCGCAAGGTTGCTGTCCTGATAGGGTATGCTGGCACCGGTTACCACGGACTTCAAATCAACCATGATCTGAAGACAATCGAGGGAGATCTCTTCGCTGCCTTTGTTGCTGCTAAGGCTATATCCAAAGCCAACGCCAATGATCCTAAAAAATCGAGTTTCGTGCGATGTGCAAGGACTGATAAAGGTGTACATGCTGCCGGTAACATGGTTTCGCTTAAGTTGATTATTGAAGACCCAGATATCGTTCAGAAAATCAACGAGAACCTCCCTCCCCAAATTCGTGTCTGGGGCATCCAACGTACGAACAACGCATTTAGCTGCTACGCATCATGCGATTCCCGATGGTACGAATACCTAATGCCAAGTTACTGCTTGTTGCCACCCCACCCGGAAAGCTTCTTAGGAAGAAAGGTTTTGCAATCGCTTAAAGAAAATGGTTTGGAGGATGAATACGCAGAGCGCATGGGGGAAGCCAAAGACTACTGGGATGACGTCGACAAGACTTACATCCAGCCGATACTAGACAATTTAGATCCCGACGTTCGAGAAGTAGTGAAACAGCGTATTCATTCACCTGACAGGGATACGGAACAAGCATCTGGCTCCCAAACAGACGCGACTAAGACCAGCGGCAAGACAGATAGCAGTGCCGCAAATGACCCAAAAACCAGCGAAGGGGAAATTTCGGTCACGGATACACGGGCCGTCGATTCGGAGGCGACCAACGCTATGGATACTGATGATGTCAAGGCTGCAGCTAAGGTGACAACAGAGGAAGCGACAGTTCTTCAATCCAAAGGGCAGCCAAAGATAAAGGAGCAGAGCCCAGTCGAAAAGGCTTTAAAAGAGATCAAGGCTGCGTACATCGCCGCTAAGCGGCGGTATCGAGTGACGCCGGATCGCTTGGAGCAGCTACAAAAATCACTAGATCATTACCTCGGCACTAAGAATTACCATAACTATACAATACTGAAGTCTCATGGAGATCCCTCTTCCAAGAGAACGATCAAGTCGTTTGTTGTGAATCGCGAGCCAATCCAGATCAACGATACCCAATGGCTCTCCCTAAAAGTTCACGGCCAATCATTTATGATGCACCAAATTCGCAAGATGGTTGGCATGGCTGTCCTAGCCGTGAGGTGCGCTACTCCATGGTCTCGCTTCGAGGAGAGCTACTCGGCCTCCCGCATCAGCATCCCCAAAGCACCCAGTCTTGGACTGCTTCTCGAGCGTCCCGTGTTTGATACCTACAATAAACGTGCTACTGAGAGTCTCAACTTGGAGGCACTTAGTTTCTCGAACCACGAAAAGGAGATACAGGCGTTCAAAGAGGAGCATATCTATCGTCGCATCTTTGAACTTGAAGAGCAGGAGAATGCGTAAGTCTCCTATTCATTTTCCTTTTCTTCAAGCATGCTATTATTCCTTTGCCGTCCGCCACCCAGCTTGGTTTCTAACTAGATCAATAGGTTCCATCTGTTCTTTAACCAGATAGATACCTTCAGGAGCGATTACTTCTTGTGGGTTACGTCAGGGAATCTAGAAGGCTTGTATCAAAGAGAGGGGCCAGGTGACTCTGTTCCAAAGGAACTGGAAAACGAGCTAGGTGATGAGGGCGAGAACCCGGGAGGCGAGGAAGGCTAGAGAGATACCCCAGCAGACTATTGTCTATATGCACTGCATTGATCTTCCTATCTATACGTACATATATTTCGTGTATTCCCTGAACAATAGAGATACAATGGATTTCGGTGCAACGCACAGCATACCGCTCACTAAGACTAGATTGTAGCGGCGCCTTGCGATTTGCATGCGCTGCTTTTACGTGCGCGTTTCTTGTAGCACGCGAGGAAATACTACTGCAGACAACTATTACTGAAATGTTATTACTGAAATAGGTATACCTCACAATCTATCCACCATGGTGTCGTTATACCCAATCTTAACCTCCATCTTATGATGCGTGTATCTTCGTGTCTTGATGGTGAAGTGACTACAAATACCCATACCGTCATCAGCTGTATAGACATAGGTCTTCACCTAGATTCTAGGACGGTGCTCCCGATCTTCCAGCCTAGTTTCTGCCTTAAATACGTCGACATCATTCCCGTCCCTCTCAGTCCCATAGTCCTAAGCTGAGCTGCCCCCTTCCTGCTTGATATGGGACTCGCCTTGCTCTTTCTTCACATCCATGTCGGCAGAGGGGTCGATGCCTTGCTGGGCATGGCTTTTCTTGGCTGTTTTCCTCTCCAGTTCAAGGAGGGTATTGTAAAGATCGGAGACGCGTGCGGCTTTCTCGTCGATCTCCTTCTCACGGCTCACCTCGCTAGCATCACCTGGCTTGCGCAGTGGGCCGGCTATCCATAGCTGCTTGATCTCGCGATTTAACGCTAGCAGGTTCTCAACCTCTTTAATCTATAACCGTGTATACATTAGTATCGCATGTGTTATGTTAGACCAAAAGTAAGGACTGAAATGACGGAGTCAAGAGAATGGAAGTAGATAGAAACGGATATGGTAGTAGTGGTGAAATAATAATGGGAATCTTGGGGGGTTTGAAATAGGGATGCTAATTAGATCCTACATACCAGCGCAGAGACTTCATTGTTCATAGTCATGGCATTGAGAGACGCCTGTGGAATCGCGGCAGCGGTAGGAAGCGGTTCGGTGGCGGCGAGCACCATGTTGCGGAAGCGTGTGAGGATCGCGGCCATAGTTCGATTATGCCGGTCTAACGGAATGGACTTGTTAGCAGGGGGCATTGTTTCTTTCTTCTTTTCTGGTGCTGGTGGGAGTGGAAACTCTTCGTGGACGCGCTTGACTTGATCCCAGAGTTCTTTGGAGGGCGGGTGAGGGCGGATATAGCCAGTAGACAGGATTGTGTCTTTGTTTCTCCTGGTGGCATCTCGGTGCAAGGCTGCGATGTTTATATCAAGAAGAGCATTGACCAGCCCTTCCTGGTCATAATTTGCTGAAGTTGGATTCGACGAAAAGCTTTGGGCAGAGGCAGAAGGCTTAGCTAGAGTGCCATTATCGGTATCGGAAGCTTGCCGAGGCCCTTTCTCTTCTCTTTGGCCATCGAATGCTTCCTCCTTGGCTTCTACAACATCGAGCCCAATAGTACCACCATTGCCCAGTTCCGGGTGAATGGGCTCATTGATAGGTGGGACAGGTGCTTTCTAAGCATCGCCATCGTTACCAGCAACAAGAATTCTGTCTTGCCTATTGTTTGTCGAAGTTCCCACGTGATTTATCTGAGGAGCCATTATAAAAGCAAAGCCGTGTATTTGGATGGGGCCTGAACTTGTCTCAATCGCAATAAGAATGACTTTTTTGCTGTTTACAAGAGACTACTTGGGATTCAGGACTTGCGAGCCGTCGTTATATAAGACATGATTGTGGCCGAGCGAACTCAGCAACCCGTTGGTTCTCCCCGGTTCTCCTCATCGCCAGGAGTGATGAGACTATTGTGTGTGTGGACTCGGGTGTGCGGTGAGGATTGTTTCATTGGAAGCCCGCAATCTCAGCGCAAAGGAACGCGTACATGTGACTACTCGGCCAGGTGGTGATCGAAGGAGGTGGAAGAGGAGTATTGCTTAAACTTACCCATAAGTGTGTTCTGGTCTTTTCTATTCATCCTGCCAAACGCTCAACAATGATAAAAGGCACTTAAAATCCGAAACCGCCGTTTGTCTTCACCACTGTAGGACTCCGACTTGCAACATAGAGTTGAACTTAACTGAACGTTAATGAAATTAGCTGTTAACTATTCATCCCTTTGACTTTTGACTGCGTTGTATCAGATTGTGTCGCTTCCATCGAGTGCCTACCTAATGCAAAGAATCGTAGCATTGGAGACTGGTGTTTGCAGCGCGACACCGCTAAGCCGGGGCAGGTAACTAGCCGCTAAGCACCACCCTACGCTGCCTATCTAGGTACCTAGGTAGGTAGGTACCTATCAATAAGCCTACCAGGTACCTACATACAGGTATCTACATAGGTAGAGTACCTACCTAAGACCCATCTAACCTAAGTTGATACACCAGATCGCAGGAATGAGATATGAATAATTACACATTTTATTTCTTATAATATCTGCAACGCCAAGATAGGCAACGGGCTATGTTTACCATATCAAGCCCGATTGCCTCGACAGTAGAGCCAGAACAGGCCACAACTACTTGCACCGACGAAGGCGCTGAGGAACACGCTACCAACCCAGGGCGCTGTTGTTGCTTGCGTCGTATGATTCGAAACAACGAAGAGGAGGATCCAACCTGCGGCACCCTTACTTAAGTATGTGCTGTCACACCAGCAATTGTTGTAGAAGCCGGCAAGCTCCAGATGCATCACCTAACGAGGATATGATAGCCAAAATGGCCGTTAATATCCAAGATAGGACTGCGACTAGAATCTGCGCAATCAGCGACAATGTCACGCCTCTCCGCGTAAGGAGAATGTTTATCTTCAACTTCTCCCACCAATCAGCATTATCGGATAGGATAATGAGGCTAGCTAGACTCCCGCTCTTTTAGGATAGTTGTAATGGAAGCTGTTGTCTTTCCTGGAGAAATATCCGAACACTTTTACTTGTCGGATTTAGCGGTCGATCCAAGGCTTCTAGCTTCCGAAACTTTCCTCAAAGCCAATGCTAGTTGAGAATTGTCGTCGCTAGAGAGTACGTAATGAGCATAGGGCTACCTACGGCATAGCAGAAACTCACCACGTTGGCTATTATCTTATTTTCGCCCGTTTCAAATGGTAATTGTGCGGTAAGGGCAACCCAAGGCAGAAGATAGTTGCTTGCCCCCGTCGAAAATACCTTGAAACTGAAAACGGTCGATAGTTGCTCGTATGAGCAGTATTTTGCACAGGTGTGATAATCGATGCCGGCGATACCGGCAACGATATCTAGTACATCGAGAGGATCCTGAAGGACCTTCCCGGCTCGGTTCACGAGACCATTGAACACATCGGATGATTTGTTGAGCTTGATCGCCTCTTTAATCTTTATCACACACTACCCCTTCCAGCTCTCGTGGTCTTCAAATGCCGTGATCTTCCTGATAATCGCACCCATTGGCGATTTATCAGCGAATATTATCATAAGACACAATGACCGCAAGTATTTCAGATTGTACGGTAAGTGCTTAAGCTTTGACGATGGGATTGCGGATTAGCTCATATAGTGGACGAGCGTCTTGACTTGATTAGGTGAGCAAGACACACATGTCTATCTAGAAGTAGGATACCAAATGATAGCAAGGTGATACCAAGAAGTAGATAATTTGCAAGAGTTTATCGAAGTGACTGGGACAACTGTTATCTGACGTGACTTGATTCTATCCGAGTGCGACGCCGAGAAAGAGCGTTTGTCCTGCTCGAAGCGCTCGAGAGTACTACAGGCGTTTCCGATTGCGCCATGCTGGAGAAGTATAACATCTTGGGAGGCATAGGATAAACGCTTTAGGCTAACGGGGAGGTTTGTGGAACTGGCTTCAGAACTGGCACAGCATAACAATGGCTAAGACAAGGCATAAAACTGCGTTTAAGATAGACACCGTTATCAAGCAGACTTAGACATAAATGAAGATATGCGGTCTGAAGAACCTCAGGCCTTTCTACAGAAAGCAGGTTTCTAATAGAAAGATACTCTTAAAACCATCGAAATGGCTCATGAATGATACTATTTGGCCCTTGCTTGAATATATGAACATAGTAAACATCCCAATGCCTATGAATAAAGCAGTAATGGCATTGATTTCAAGCAATACATGACCAAGTTCGAGTCTCTTAATATTGATTATAGCTTGTCATTTCTCTACCGCGCTTCTGGCTCCCCTTGTAAGTAGACCTTCGAGAACAATACGGTGCGTCACACAAGACTTGCGCGCCGAACTACATCACGCCATCGTACGCAGATTTCTGTTGTGCTTGTGTATTGAGAATATTTTTCCATAACGTCAGTTCAAAAGTACCACCAAGGTGTGTGCTACTGGCCGCGTCATTGTTGTGAAGGATACGTATCTATCCGGTGATAGACAGCTCGTATCAAACACATGATCCCAAATCTTCAAGTTGACGTTAGCCTCCAGGGTTACAAGTCAGACGTAGAGAACGGTGTGATCTTCTACATGCTACAAACTAGAGTCAGTTGATACACAACTGCAGTTTTCATAGCCATGCTACTCAGAGAGCCATTGTCGAACAATACTTGTCATTTAGCCTATCAAACACATCCCCTCCCCTATTCGCCTTTCAGAACCTGGCACAACGTAGCTTAAAGATGGTATAATACGCCCACGATGCCTTTGTCCCATTTATATGTATCTTAAGCTGTCTTCTTCTCTGTTTATCAATCTTAATTCCGTCTTGAAAGAGCCGCTCGAAAAATCTCAAAATCCCTGTCCAATATAGCCCTGAACAACAATGTACCTCTCGCTGCTATTCTCCCTCTTCATCATCTTCAACCCAAGCCTCTCCCAACCATCCAACTTCTGGCTTACGTACATGAAATTTGACAGCTACGACCCCCAATACCGGCATCAAGCCGGCGGCGTCTTCACAACTCCACAAGGGCTACCCAGCTGGCAATGTGACGAGGCGACATACGACTCGGGCATCTGGCCCGACAGAGACGACGTGAGCGGCGATAAGCTAGGGGTGCGCTTCGATCCTAGCGACGACGTCGGGTTCCCGTTGTACCGGGACCCGCTCGAGGTTGTTGAGTTCAACACGGGGAAGTTCTGGCCAGGTCATCAGAGTACGTATATCTTCTGCGAGAAGAACATAGGAGGAACTCACATGAAACTTCTGATGATCTGATTTATATCCGCAGCCATTTACTCCGATCGCGACTACAGCATGTACGATCTGCATAACCAGAAGACAGCGCAATGTTACGGTGAGCAGTTCACATTCTCTATTGCGTGTTAACTCCGGATCTAACCACCGAGTACTTTCCATTTTCGCTCCCGATTCCCAAAGTAGTACATCAGAACAATAACCTCATATATAATCGCGGGAAAGATTATGCTGACAGGCCAAATAGTTAACCGATCTGTTGTGCTCGATTTAGACTGCACATTTGAAGGCAGAGCTTATACGGTAAAAGGGTCGACGATGTTGTACTGCGAAACATTGACGTAACTTGTAGAGGAAACTCAGTGAGTCAAACGTCTTGGCTAAGGAAGCATACAGCAGAAGCCCGCTAGTTTTCTTTCGGCAGTGGCTTGCTGCTTGTTTGTACAAGAATTTTCCCTAGATGCCTTGCATTATACGCAGTCGTAATATTCAATTTTGCTTCCATTACAGATGCCCACTAAGTGATTGCTCACGATTGCACAAGCGCAAAGATTGTGGCCTTCATGTTACTACTATTGTGCCGAATCCAGCTAGAAGAGTGGAACGCCGGGTTACAATACTGAATCATAAGGAAACTTGTAAGGCAGATAGGAGGCATCTTTGAATGTTGCGGTCGAGGCTCTCGTCCTGTCATACAGAGCAAGAGTGGGGAAATGCGTGGCGTGAGTCATTAAAAGAATAGTTGATTCGTGATGGCGGACGATACCAGTCCATGCATTTATGCTACCAAGACCGTCCTTCTATCAAAGCCACACAGATTTATCGTCAACAATATGGTACAAGGACCTGCAAGCATTCTGTCCGGTCGGTGAGATGAGACTTCCTTGCCACCAGCTTTCGCAAGAGCCGTCTAGGCATAACAATACATATAGAGAGTACGCAGAAATGAGCGTCCGTTCTATTGTATAGGCAGAGTCGCTAGGATTAGCATGTCCTAGGCGAGTCGAGAGTGACTTTGCATTGAGCAAATATTAGGCGAGGAATGTGATGGTACAGGGCGGATTTCGTAAGGTGCCGTGAGGCGACGCGAATTTTTCTCCTCGAAAGGAGTTGTGCGCAAGCTTAGTACACTAGCAGTGTAGAACAGCCGGTGCAGTGGTGACTTATAGAGCTGCTTTCGTCTCCGCACCAAGCGCTGCGCCAACCTGTTGTGCTGTCGAGGAGCCGTCTTGACCCGTGCCGGCGGTAAGAAGCTGAAAGTATGTTGTCAGTCGGTTGCTCGTCACACATCTCTAAGGATGGCGTAACTTACATCTCCACCCATCTCGCGCATTTTCATCTCCTTTTCCATCTCGAGCACCTGCTGTTCCTCAGCCCAAGCCAGCGCCCACGGAATACCCAGCAACAGCGCCGAGCTACTGATGACCCATAACGATTTGCCGCCAAATGAAAGGACTGACTTTACGGCGTTGCCGGCCGTAGCGACTGTGTTTGAGATGTACCCACGTGTCTGTGGGGGGACGATGTCGCGCAAGGCATACAGGCGCTCAGCAAGTGTCTCGTCGGTGGGATCGTACTCGGACTCGTCAGAGATTTCGGAATCTGAGAAATACAACAACGAAACGTTAGAGATTTAGAGGAGACAAGGGAATCTATGCCAAGGCCAGACGTCAGGGGAGCAGTGGCAGGCGCAGCGTACCAGTGTCTGTATAGTCTGCGTCATCTTCCTCGGGCCCTACCTGGCCCTCCTGGAAATGTTCGTCGACGATTTCTTGAAGCTTAACCATTGTGTCTGTGTCTGTGTCTGCGTCCGCTGAGTGGAGCTCTCGTCTGTTCGTTTGCTTTTTGGGGCAGGGCGGGCGCTGTCATGCGAATGAATGCGGCAAAAAGCGACGGCGGGACGGTGTGCGTGAGCTTGCTAAGAATCGCTAGAGTTGATAGGAATTATCAGATGCCACTAGGGTAGAAGCTGGAAGCAGAGTGGTCTCAAAAAATTCATCATCGGGTCCCAATAATCCTTGGATAGAAGGACATGGGGCTGCATGGGGCTGCATGGGTATGCTTATCATCCTTAGCAACTTTTGCCCGCTGTGGCTCGTGCACTTGTGACGCAAAGTGGGTGAGCCCGATAAGGTAATATCATCGATATACACAAACCCCCACTGCATCTGTACATATGTATGTAAAGTGTATATTCTACCTTGATAGGTATCTATCCATATCCACTTCAAATATATAGGTACCTATGTACCTAGGTAAGGTGTCTACTGGGTGTACAGCTGCCCAACCCAACTGCGGAATGTATCTTAAAGGTAGGTTTCTACAATACCACTACACCATTCATCATATTCACTCATTCCTTTAGCTTAAAGGAAAAAATATATTTTTAGTGCCCAGTTTTGTATTTGATTCATTCAGTCATTTTGGCATCGCTATAGAACTATGTATAATTGAGACCTGAACCGTAGCCACCTTCTTCTGTCTGAAGATGACAAGAAAAAATGAAATAACAAGACACAAAAGCTATATGGTATCTATGTATCTAAATCACCATCTTTCATGCCCGTTTCGCTGGGCCCTCGGCAAATCTGATGCCTCGCCTTTCGGGTGGAACTCTCGGTGTATCATCGTCATCGCTATCGCTCTCTTCTGATGATGTGCCGGCAACCCCTAATGCTGCCTCTCTCCTTCGCCTCTCCGCTGGTGTCTCACCGTTGTCATCTTCCTGTACACTCGCAAACGCTGCTAGTCGACGTCGACGCTCTGCAGCTGTCTCAACGTCCTCTGTGTCTTTTGTCTCGCTTCGTCCGCGGGGAGAATCATCAGAGGCAGCGGCAGCAGTAGCGTCGATTGGCCGAGAGGGGGATTTGCTCGCGCCACGGGTGCTATCACTAGCGTGCGTTACACTGATGTGCGGATTCAAAACGGCCGGGCCGCTGATTTGTGTGGGTGCGGGTGTGGATGTGGCCGAGGCTTCGGTCTTCGCCTGGACAGAACTTGGTACTTCTCGATTCGATCGTTCAAGCTTTTGGACTTCTTTAAGGAAATCTTCCTTGGTCATCCGCCTATCAGCGCCGCTTATGGTGAACCGAATTCCACGGTCATCGTCATGTAGATCGTGACCAGTCTCTGAGTCGCCGCCCTTATTTCTTTGCTGGACGTTCCCGGAGCGACCAAATCCTGCCCATCCAACGACAGACGGCCGCTTAGCTGATCCAGGTGTCGCCTGCGTCGCAGCGGCCGGACCAGCTTGAGATGATTCCACAGGTTTGGCTTCCTTGTCCCCTGGCTTCACTAGTCCGCCCATTCCCATATACTTCAGACCTGTGGCGACATAGTCCCTTCCTTCGCCTCGCTGGGCAGGGAGATCATACTTCTTGACGACCTCGCCGTCTTCGTCTTCAACAATAATCTACAGAAATAGTAAGTCATATGTGCTTTCCAAAAGGGCTCATGTATTGCTTACCGTATTGCCGAATTGATAAGCCCGGGCCGGTGCATGCTTGCGCTCTTCCTTGGTCTTGTCCTTTCGTTTCTGAGCCTCTTCGTCACGCCATTTTGCAAGACTCTTCTTAAGCGAGTCGTATGTCCAGCCTGGTTTCTGAATTTCCTCCTTCGCCTTTTCAACCAAGGGTTCCACGTTAGGCAAAGCCGACTCATGTGCTGTCCTATCGACGGCTACAACCTCGCCTTCTCTATCTTCAATCACAATATGATCCCCCTCGTCATACACGGCGAATGGTGGCGATTCCCCATCTTTCTGTTGCTGTTCAGGTGTAGACCCTCCAGACTTTTCAATATCAACTTCCTGGGCGTTAGGTGAAGTAGGAGAGCCATCTCGGTGCGGTGAAAGTGGAGTAATTTTCTCATTATCTATAGGTGACACTGGCTCAACTTGGTCGCTCGCACTTCGCCTCTGCGGGAAGATAGCGGACTGGGTAACCGGTCCACCAGGACCAATCCCATCATCCCACTTCTTTCTGCGTCGTCGACTGACTATAGACGATGCGCGACTTCCGGCCCGACTAGGGTTTTCCTCCTCACGCTGACGTCGCAAAAACTGACCAGCGACGCCCGTTGGTGGAAGCGTTCCAGGTGGAAACGTTGGAGACTTGAGATCGTCATAGTCAGTATCAGACATAGTCCGTGCTTGCGATCGAGATTGTGAGGAGATCCTAGGTAGACGGCTCATCCAAGCAGGTCCATCTTCAGGAGCAGTAGTGTATGACATGGTCAGGGACAGGGTATTGATGCGCTTCCCAAGTGTGAAAACCGCTATCGACGAGCCGTGAACGAGAATGGACGATATGACCATAAAAGTTACGATCGGCCATACCAGAAGAATGGCCCGATAATTCTCTGTGCCCATTGGCGGGATTTCTGCGAGTGGTATCGTATGTTCTGTTTCGAGTTCGGCGCGAGCGAGTATCGCCACAAAGATGGCGCCGACGCCGATAGGGCCGAAGTGACCGGCGAAGAGGGCCTCACGCCAAGTTTTCACATCCGGAATAATGGGTTTCAGCAGAAGCATAATCGGAATACGGCGGAAAAGGATGACAAAGATCGACATGACCGTGAGCCTCCAAGCGGATAAGCCTATGCTAAAGTCATTGTACATCTCCCACGGAATGATTGTTCCCAGATAGACGAAATAAGCCAAGTTAATCAACAGGTCAATAACGTTGGAGACGTGCGACTCCTCCGTCTTCTCATGGAACCAACCGTCGTTAGAGAACCCAACACCAGCTGCAAATCCAACGAGCAGATCATCGACACCTAGAATACTACCTGAGCCAGCGCAGAAAAGGGCCAACACGAAGTAAAACACCAGGAAGCTTTCGCGATCGATGAGATCATGTCTTTCAGCATATTTGATACCATGGCGGGCAATGTATCCAATGAGGAACCCGTAAACAGCGCCGAAGATGCATTCGTAGATGATGGTATAAACAAACCAGTGGAATACGGTCTCGCGAGCATCCAGATGGTCGTGGATCAGATAGAGGGCCAGATATACGAAAGGGAAGGCCATTCCATCATTGCAACCAGACTCGGCGGAAAGCAGATCCCTCAAATGTTTGGGTACACGCTTTGCAAATTTGCCTTTACCAACAACAGACGAGGCCAGGACAGGATCAGTTGCTGTGACGCAGGCCGCAACAACAAGGCTCTCCAGGTAGTCGAGGGGGAATAGCCACCATATAAATAGACTAGTAATTAGCCAGCCATATGTCATGACCGGGAAAAGTAGAAAGACGACGGATTTCCAGTGCTTCTCCATATAATACTTGGGCAACTCAACACCAACAGCAAAGCATTGGACAACCAAGACAATGCGTGAGAACTCTAGGGTTACCTCGTCCGTGTTTCCCCAACTGTTAGGGTTGATGAGGTTAGCGGCATGGGGGCCGAAGATGACGCCCACCAAGGTGGCGACGGTTGCCTCACCAATGTAAAGACGCTCTTTGATGAATGAGGAGCATAGCATAAAAAGCGAAGTGAAGCCGCCCAGGATGATGTACACCAAGTGCGACTTGGTAATCGACAAGTGGTCCCACGCCATCTTTTCAGCGGGCTAAGGTGAAGCAGCACCTCGCGTCCAGGGCTCGGTCTTGAGCGCAAGAGAGCCAAGTGCCTAGAGAAGCTTGAATGCCGATGCCGAGACGAGAAGTGGAGTCGAATACTCGTTGTTTTTTTCCTCGATGGAGAGAGTGATTGCTGCGGCAAGGCACAATATGGAGCCGCGGAACCTATAAACACAGGTAACAGAGAGCGAGGGCCGCGATGCATTCAGGCGATGATAAACATGCTAGACACAAACTAGCAAGAAAGATATGCGCTACACTCTAGACGCTGAAGAGGCCGTACCGCATGTGCAGTGGCAAGTATTATGCCGTTGTGGTGGCTATTATTGTTGTTGGTGGTGATGGTGGTAGTAGTGGTAACGAGTATATATGCTGGATGTTGATATGTTGTTATCGAACAAGACAAGACCACAACGACGGCTACCTGTGTGGCGTCATCGAGAGAAGATTTACGATGGCGTCGTGAGACCACGGCGTTGCTTGGAGAGGATCGGGCAAGTGAAGAGGCCGAGGGGAGAGTAGGAGGTAGAAAATGAATGAAGGAAAAACTGGAGAACAGGTCTTGATATTATTATGTATGCCGTATGCCCAGGCGCAGCAGGTATGGAGATATAAGTAATGTTGTCCGTCTGTTTGGAGTCTCGGCAAGCTAACTAAGTAAAAGCAAGTGAGAGGGTACCTAGGCACAATGGAAAGGCTACGATAAGGTAACCCTTCATAAATAGCCTGCAGTCGAAAACCTTCTCCCGACTTTTAAGTTAGGTAAGTCTGATCAATTGGCGCGATTCAAGCATATATATGTAAAACGAAGCAGAAAACGAAGCAACGACTCACAGTCAGCGCAAGAAGCTATATTTCAGCTTTTTTTTTTTTTTTTCTTCCTTTGGGGTTTTGTTTTTTTCGCCATTGGGTGGACAGAGCTGGAGACGACAGGGTCTGCCTGCATACCTAGCAAGTGGTAAATAATACCACCAGATACAGTACATGTACAGTACAGTGTGCATCTGGTCGTACCTACATAAGTACATACCTCTGTAGATACAGATGCACTAAGTGTGCATGTACTACCTAGGTACTTTACCTATGCAGTCTACCCCTCCCCTAGGATATTAATGTTGGCCTAACACTCGACACTTACTGAGTACCTAGAGGTCCTGCCGAGCTGCTCAACACTTTTTAAACCTTCAGAAGTTCAGCTGCACTGCAGTGGAGTTATTGGGGCGGCGGGGCGGATGTCTAGTGGGGGTGCTTGGCAGTCTGTTCGTCGAGTCTGGTCGAGCACTTAGGGAGGTACCTATCATGTAACTCGTACAATACCTACTCGCACCGTACACATGTATCTAGCAAGTACCTCGGAAGCTGGATAACCGGCAGTGCCACCGCTGGACGCTAGGTACCTACGAAGTAATCACCTGCAGCATGAGGCTCACCATAGTCCTGATGAGTATCAAAGCTACGCTGCTTTACAAGAGTTTGCAAGAGGACCTCGGGAGTTGAATAGTTAGTATCTGATGGAGATGTCGAAAATCTGGAGTATCGATACAGCCATTTCGGTTCAATGCTGGATAGACCCTCCGAAATTGGCTGTATCCATTCCCACCAACTAACTACCTGAGGTATCTATCTACCCAATGTGCTACTTAGGCCCAGCGCTTGGTACGGATCAAAGGCTGTCTGTCTGCCTGTCCTAACTGTTATGGAAACATGGAAGCATGGAAATGGGAAGGTGGCAGCACAAACGCCAGACGGAAGAAAGACAGAGAGAGGATAGTAAATCTTTCAGCTAACTTTTACCGACCATCTTCTGAATGAGGTAGATAGGCAATATACCGGTAGGCAAGGTGAATCAGCTCCATCTACAAGATACCACACATAGTAGGTAGCACCCATCCAACATTTGATCAGTGCTTTGTTCTCGGCACGCCGTTAGATTTCAAATTGTGACATTCATTACATGAGGTAGTGCCTAGATAAACAAATACCTTCACACACACACTCACTCACTCACTCACTGGACTTCGGCACATCATATCCCCATTACTGTAAGCTAAAACCAGGGAACAAAGGCGGCGACACCACTAGGCCTAATCCGTGGTCTTCGAGAGTTGTCTACTTCGAGGATACTTGATGCCACCACTCTTAGATACTTTTCTTACTGTACATGGTAGACACATGCTAAGACCATACCTACTGAGCAGCGAGGTATGGCCTTGTTCCTACGACCGATGTTAATATCGCCAGCGGTGGCCTAGGTACGCTATCTTTTCCCGGCTGATTCAGTGACTGACGCGCACTTTGCTGGGAATAGGTATACAGGCCTTGGAGACTTTGTCGCAAATCCCACCCTGACTGCTGATGCGAGCATTTTACCATGCATACCCGTAGTTACTTACTATGTAGATATTTGAGTGTGCCGCCTGGCAGTTACTTAGTATGGTGATAATGGCTAGGGGAGGGTCACAGTCGGAATCGCCAACGGTCTCTCGCGAGAACGGCAAACCGGCAAGACGGAGAACTACGGGCTGCTGTGGCCAGGATCAAACCAGGATATCAAAGGTCTTGGCGCCGCGGCTTGGCATCTTTTCAACGCGCCCATCACATTACGTCAATTTACTTCGCCGGAGTGGTGGGTACACCACAGTGGGGGTTGGCGGCGTCTTGCGTTGCGTTATCGCCCGTCTTCTCCCTCTTGGTACCCTATCCCCGGCTTGGGCCTTACGCGATACATGTACTCCAGCAAGTCGTGGTCGGTGATTGGTCGGAGTTCATTCATGGCGCCCTCGATGGAAGGATGGGAGAGCGGAGGCAACGACGACGACTGGGAGCGCGGATAGTCGGACAATCGGCACATGAAGGACGGCCGGGAGAGCCTCAATATTTATTCACCAATGGCTGCTTTTCCATATCATCTCGCATACCACGACTAGTAGTACATAGCACGGAGCCATTAGACCGTCCGTTTCAATCCGCGGTGAGGCGCTTCGCGAGAGGTTGATACGTGCCGTCCCTTAGACCTCACCGCTTACCGACTGGCCCGCCGGCTCCGGCGTGTTTCACCACGGCTCACGTGGGGGTTTGCCCATGAAGTTTCAACTCGACGCATGACGAGCGCAAAGCACAGCCCAGGCTTATCGAGGTCACGAGGTCCGTTGAACGTCTGGCTCACTCTGCAATATGCACGCCACCGTCCCGGCCCACCCCCGCGATAGCCGGTGATTGCTTGCTGACTGCAATTTCTTGTGAAATTTTGGGTTGTCCTTGCGATCTGATTTGGGTTTTCGCACATGCCTCCTGTGAAAGCCCAATCCCCCATGTGTTCGTTAACAATCTACCCAACCCACACAAACAATGCTATGCCGCCACTGGCGGCGTGCAGGTTTCCAAATACAGAGCGCGCTTCTCCCTAACAAATCAAAATAACTACGATGCTACATCATTGTTATCGCGAAAGATAGCAACAGGTTATTCTAGGCAATTTCACATCAAGTGGTCTCAGCGAACTTGCCACGAATTTCTACTCAAGTGCTAAGTCAAACACTTAGGCAATATCTAAGACCACGATCCTCTTCCTCTTCCGATCAACATCGTGTTGCTGCCCAAACCCCAGATTGCAATTTAACTTAATACTATTCGTAATAAAATAGGGGCAAATGCGGATGATCCAATCGAATACATTTAGGAGCAGTCCCATCGTCTCAACTGCCTCTCCGTCGCCACATCGGACCAGAATCAAAGCACGCGCGCGGACTAGTACCCAATCGCCAAGCGCATCATCGGATTATTCATCCAAATCTACCCGCGAAAGATAATATATGTTGCACGCCAGAGATCCAATATCCTGGCGTAGGCGAACTAGACCTGGTAGTCGCCAAAGCCGTGAGTTTCACCATCGAGGTCCTATTCATATTGGCTGGGTCTCGGCTCTCGTGGCTCAGCATTATTCACCCCGGATCTAAAACATATCAACTAGTGGACTAAGGAGGTGAGGTAACCCATAACCTAGTATGCTCTCTATTGGAAGCGTTCAGCTCTATCTATATCGTCTCCTAACCGGGAGGGTGATAATAGTGTCGATTTACTCTTCTGTCTCTTGGGATGGCGGTGATGGCTTATATCCCCTTCTCGAGAGGTGTTTAATGAATATTCTCAAAAATATTGACATATATCGTCTCTGTCATAGCGCTTGTGGCGCCGCAGAATTGTCTGGACAGGTGTTTTCAGTTGCGAAGGGCACTTTAAGAGTTGTGCTTTCTGGTTAGTGCATCATAGCGGAGCAATTATTCAAATCTGTGCGTAGCAAATACCACTTCAAGTGATCTGTTCGGCGAAGGGGAGCCCAGGGCAGCCGTTCAGGAACTTAAGCATGTAGGAACATCAGTGTCAGACTGAGGCGGACGCTCCTAACTCTCGAATCGAAGTCCAATTTAGCCCATTCGATGTAGAATACTAAACAAAAACATACGGAAGACTTAGGATTGCATAAGACATTGCCACACCCAAATCTTATGTCGAGATATCTGATACCTAAGACCTGGCAACCTGCATACGTTGAGACTGGCGAGGAGAGCAAAAACTGTATTCCGATCCACTCTCCGTATCGGAGGCAGCAACTTAAACGAATTGTCTTGCTTAACATACCCAAAGTATCTAAAAGTTCGCATGACGCATCAATCATTGTGGCCAGCGTAGCATTGGAGGCTCTTTTATCTCGCATGGCGACTTCTTAGCTCAGAACTCTCAAGGAGGAGTAGTGTGGCATTACATCTAAGCGATTTCTGTACAGTATGCACCAGACTGACTGATTTTAGACTATGCCACTTGCTGTATTAACTTCGTACCTGGTGTTCCATAGCGTTTAAATGATATGACACGGTGATAGCAGACGTACTTACATAAGTAAGTCATAAGAAATGTCTCTGACAGGCCGCCTACGGTGTGGCAGCGTTCTTGCGTGATCTAATGCAGGCATCTATCCCCACGTATTACATGCTCTACCAATTGGTTCTGCTAACTTCAATAATCAATATGTTTCGAAACTTTATAGGTGAATCTCAGAGGCCTCCAACAGGTTCGTGGATAGGGTGAGTCCCGCCTGTCATGTTGACTATACTAATGAGCCGCTGGCGGGCCGTGCCGCGCCATCATGACAACCTAGACAGTTCCCTAGGCTGACATACGTTCTAGAAATGTGCGCATTCATTTCAAGATTAGCTGTGGTGCGTTGTGCTTGATCCTTCTCGAGATTGTCCGAGACATAGTCTGATAATGTTAGTTTCTATCGATCCCCTATAACCTAGTGTACGGCTACACTGAAGGTACCAATCTCGCACCACTGCGATGTTGAAGCCAGTCGCCTGGCTAATGTATTAAACACTCATATGGCCATCCATATAGCGTCACAGAACCCAAAGCATTACACCACAACTCTGGGTCATGATCCTGAACGAGCATCAGAGACTACATCGTCAAGCTTCCGAGCACGTTGTCATCAACTATACGGATTCGGCGGAAATGATAGGGTACAATCAAGCACATTGTAATCACTCCTCCACTCACAGATTCACGATAAAATAGTACAACACCTACAATCAATGAGAGTAGCGGGGAGTAAACAAATTCACGTAAGCGAACTCTACCGAGGTCGAACCTGGCGAATGCGGTGATGGAGGTGACAGCATCCTGATGTCATTCGTAGAGAAATTCAAATATGATATTCGATAGTCATTCCCGAACGAGAGGTCTTCGGGAGTTATGTGTTTAATAGAAATTATCGGGCGAGCAATAGTGACGACAAGCCGCTGTGAAGCATTGAAACGAGCACTCGTTAAATCTAGAATAGAATTTGCCGCTATTAGCTTTAAAGAGTTCACGGTGAGGTTGTTACGACCAACCCTGCCTGAAGCACGGAGCCGAAATGACGGCAGTCGCCGGGGGATTACTACATACTGCAGGTGAATGTAGTCTGCATAAATGCGACTACTGTTTTCAATTTGATACCCGCCAAATAGTTGTTTGACAATCTCGCGTGGGGGTTGAGGTGTTATCTGTGCTAAGCACATCAACATGTCCCAATCCGTTAGCTAGTGACGCCGCAAGCCGGTGCGATGATTGGACATTGGGCATCTTTGCATCATACTAAATGCCTGGCTCATCACCAGTCGCCCGGAGCCGCGAACTGGCTATAGGATAGATGCTGTGTCGACTGAGAAAACGGACAGATCGTGGCTGAAGACGAAACTCACCGCCTCGTGAAGTATGACCAGGTGATCTCAAACGAGGGGAACACAGGAATAGCTAGGAATGGTGTCATGTCCTCGGACCCTATTAGTTCAAACTAACGACATCATGTTATGATCGGATTTAGGCATACGGAGCTTCGTAGGGCATACCTACAGGAGTCAACTTAATGATATTCAGAAGCCGCGGTATGCTTTGGGAGACAACTAGCGACGATATTTCATATACAACCGGAGAAGACAGGGTATTTCTTGATTGGGTTGCACGGCAGATGCAACACTTGGAGTTAATACATACTGTCAGGCTAGGATAGGTGTATTTGGAATGATTAATCAGATATAACTGTGTAGTAAGGATGCAGCCGGATTCTCACAAACCACGGCGCCGGTAGGTAGACTGAGGCCCGGCACCCCAATCACTCCAAGTGGTGCTTGTCCCCAGGTTCCCGCGAATCGAAGCCTTGGCAACTATTCCCCGCGCATTGGGCAACGCTCAGTCTCCATCAATGATCAACAAGACAGCAGATCCAGCTATATTTGAAACATAGGAGACACTGATACAGATATTTATCGTGAAGCGAGAGTGCTCAACTTCCCTGTTCGACTTCACGTTTCGCTTCAAGGAAGGACAGTGCCTACATATATTGATTCCTAGAACCATAGGGTCCGGCCTGACGGCATCTCCCGTATCTGGATCGACCGCCACTCTTGCCCGCAACCTCATTATGCAGCAATTGATAGAAACGGGGCCTATTGACTTCAGAGGCACCATTGCATAGCCCTTATATACCACAGACTAGTGAATAGTACCGCTCGGGTCGAGTAGCCTGTAATCAATTGGGGTGAAGTGAGAGATAGCGAGAAGTAAACGGCATGGTCGCACCAATCACTTCCCAATACCAGGATCTCGCGTTTCGCAAGGACATTGCATTATTAGCGTTAATATCTTATGCCCGATCGATATGCGCAATCCCAGATATATGCAATATCAACGTAACCGTACCATCATGAATCAATTCCATTCTTCGTATAATCGTCGGTTGGACAATTTTAAATATAAACCACGATGTGACATCTACGCAGTGGCCTAATTGGGCCTTGTTATTGCATATCCAGTCTCGCCAGTCTTTCCATTCCTACCTCCTATCCTGAACATATAATAGATTCTGTATGGGCTATACTACCTACCCTAGATACTCCGTACATGAATGGTGAATAATGGAGAGATAACGGATGAATAATCCAGCTGAAAGTGCTGCACAGTCTAATAATAATGGCAAGCCTCTGGAGACCTCGTTGCACCTTGATAGGTGGCTGTCGAACGGCCCTTGCAGCCCTACCAACCAGAGCTCCGCAGTAAGCGAAATCCAACAGGGGTATCCAGGAATTCTGCATCAATCAGCCATGGAGGCTGCCCATCCACCCAAATCCATCTATGGTGCGCCATCGTCTATCAGCCAATCGAACGGCGTAGGACCGTGGCTTGGCCGGGTTGGCATGCTCGTTACATCTGATATGATGGTTGTCAACTTCCTCGCACATGACGAGCTGCGGCAGGCCGTGCGACTCATCGTCTGCCTTCAAGCGCTCGGGTGACGGCGCTGCTAGGCGTCCGTCCATCCACATGGGCTATTTCTTGAACTCGAGATCCAGTAACTAGTTACCTCGATCAATCTGATCTTCATGAATATATATGTGGAAAGTATTATTGCGCTTAGAGTATACAGTCTGCTACTCTCTTCATCCCGAGTTATTGATACTGTAAGACGGACCATGACCGATATCCCAAACGTGGAGAAGGTAGCATCCGCAGGGGTAACCTCTGAATTTGCTTCTAGTCGTTCCGTTGGCGTCGACCTCGTGGGTAAAACGGCCATCGTGACAGGGTCGAGCAGTGGCATCGGTCTGGAATGTGCTCGACAACTCCTTGCTCGAGGTCTAAGCAAACTCATCCTCGCCGTCCGAGATGAGAAGAAAGGAGCTGTCGCTCGCGAAGACCTGATGTCTGGCCGGGATCTTAAGGCAGGTGCCATTGAGATATGGCATATGGATTACAGCTCCTATGGTTCTATTATGAGCTTCGCCGACCGTGCGAAAGCTCTCGAGGCGCTCGACATCGTGGTGCTCAATGCTGGTATCTATCGCATTCCCCGCGTGATTCTCCCAACAGGCCACGAGGAGGATATACAGGTCAACTACCTGTCGACTGCCTTTCTGACCATATTACTCCTCCCCATCCTCGAAGCAAAGAGACGTCCCGGGACCGAGCCCGGATGTCTGACCGTTGTGTCCTCCAGTGTGGCGGCGTGGTCTCGCTTCAAGCTACCGCAAGACGGGCGGCCCTTGCTGACGACTCTGGACGAGCCAATGGGGACAGCGGCCTTCGACCATCATCAGCAATATTGTACCTCGAAACTCCTTGGGCAGCTGTTCTTGGTTGAGCTGACACGACGTGTGCCATCCTCAGTTGCCACTATCACCTACGTGCATCCCGGGCTATGCTACGGATCTGGGCTCGCTCGCGACAGCATGGGAACGATAGCGGGTTTTATCGCAGGGATCATATTTCGCATTTTCGGTCGCTCATGCGTTGGCGGTGCACAGGCTATAGTTGACGCTGCTGTAGCCCATGGCGAGGAGGCTCACGGTCACTACCTTGTTGATGGAAAGCCTGCAAAGTATGTTATGTCCTGATCCCCTTCAATTCATGCGATGTATATCTAACACTCGAGCGACTAGGTTGGCACCGATTGTTTATACGCCCGAAGGTGGACAAATGGCTCAGAGGTTATGGAAGGAAACCATGAGCGAGCTATCATTTGCTGGCGTTGAGGATATTATCGAAGCCCTTGTTAGTTGAGTTATCGATATGCCACGGAATTTTACTTGTTCACATATCACTTTATTGTCATCCCATGTCATTATACCTTACCTGGCGATATCAAGTCTATACCTTCGTTGTCTATAAATAGTCATAATACTTATACTATAAGCTTCTTTAGCGGTTATCCAATTTCAATGGCGTAGTTTCAATCTAGAGTGGCTCTTGAATGCATCAAACAAAATAGGACATAGGGCACGTCGCGATTGAGGAAGACGTCGAGTTGTCATCGCCCTCCAGCTAACATATCAAAGGGTGATACACTCTCTCGGTTCTGATAACTGCCCCAGTGGACGACTGTGCCGTACCAAGTCGTTCCCAAAGCAGTACCTTGGGTTAGAAATATTTCAGATTGCACGATCACCGAGATTTCCGGGCAATGAAATAACATGCTTCCACCATATCTGCACAAGTAGCTTTTCTTTTAGATCTTAAATATCTGCGGACCTAAACGTCGCATTTCGTATGATTCCAGTTATGTCCTTGGTATTACAGAACACCTGCTAGTGGCGTTATTGAAGTATTTCCTATACCGCCATAGATGGGTCTGAAGTCGGCTATACCAAAGCCCTCCATATAATTCGCTGCACAATAATCACGAAATCCCCAGGGATCATTATGCCTAACCCATCTCCTTTTCCATATAGTTACTCCCCTGGGCATAATCCTTATTCGTGTGTAGCCTTGAGAATGCAGTGAGACACATTCGTATTCGAAAGTGAGGCTATTCAGCCCCCGCTTATCTGAGACATGTAAGGCGGACCCCGGAGGTTACGAAGGCCGGTCTCATTATACATAGAGGCAAGGTCAGCAGCCACCGAGGTCAGAAAAGGCCATATCATACATAGCATTGCAAACTGAACCCCAAGCCATGTCATCGGCTATTGCTATGCTGAGCGTCTATTCTGAACAGCTGTGGAACTCCTAACTCCACACACCTTTATTCAACGATTTATTATTGACCCGGCATATGCACGATGATATGTTTCAAATAGATCATACCAATGCCAATGCCGAAGACTCGGTGCGGGACTTCCAGATCTCCAACACGGCAGATAACTATTCTCCTCATCGCCAGTTCTGCGGGGTAGCAAGTGGCGTCGACCCAACACAGCAAACCCAGAATATAAAATGTGAAGCATTAATGATTATTAAGGCCTTCGATTATAATTGCTAAGCAGCATTATATATCATGGCCGACGACAAGAACGATAGCACATACGTACCTCTTCTCTCAGAGAAACACTCGGGTATTCCTCAGTGGCTCCTCGAAAAGGCTCAGGACGCAAAGGCGCACGTCTTGTCTGTGAAGACAAAGACAGATAATGCAAAGCCACGGACCCTGGTGTACCCTCCAGGTGTAGATAAAAGCGTCTTCGATGAGGCGGTGGGGGATCTTCGAGAGCTACTAGGTGCCGACCAAGTTGTTCTCAATGATTTACCGCTTGAGGATGGATGGTGAGTTATTGATGCATCATCTGATTTACATGGCAGCATGGGCTAGCTTGGAACATGACGAAACATAATGCTAACATACCCTATAGGTACATGGAGCGTGAGTACATCCACCAATGCCATATGATGTTCCGAAAGTTGACTAGATGTCTTAGACCCTAATACCCATGACATGATGTACGTCCTCGACCAGGATGAGTTAGTTCCATCTGCTATCGCATATCCTGGTAGCACAGAAGAGGTGCAGCAGATCGTGAGATGGGCGAATAATTACCGAATCCCAATCTTTCCCATTTCAATGGGGCGAAACTGTAAGACATTGGTCATCCTTATATTGATCCAATTGACACTGACATCGTGGCTCTTCAGTCGGCTATGGTGGAGCAGCACCTCGTGTTCGGGGTTCTGTTCTAGTTGATATGGGTAAGCGGATGAACAAGATTCTAGATATCAACCCAGATGATTATACCTGCCTTGTCGAACCTGGAGTGTCCTTTTTCGCTCTTCATGAGGAAATCCAAAAGAAGGGGTATGATCACTTGTGGATAGATACTCCGGATGTGGGCGGTGGCTCCATCCTTGGAAACACGCTTGACAGAGGTGTTGGTGCGTATTGATATCCCATATCCCCTCTTTGCTATTTTTCCCTTGCTTGAGCTCAACCTGGCACGATACAAGTACTGAATTCGAGAGCAATTAACTAAAACCTGTTTCTCGCACGTAGGTTATACACCTTATGGTGATCACTGGTCCGTTCATTCGGGGCTTGAGGTCGTTCTCCCAACTGGAGAAGTCATCAGGACTGGCATGGGGGCACTCCCGGGTAACAATACGGTAAGCAATCCCTAGTTTCCCCTTCCTATGTGATCTGAAATTCGACGCATCGACTCTTGTATAAGCCAGATATCGCGTGAGCCGCCTACGAGTTATACGGTCTCATTGATGATGTTCGAAATGGTTAACTTTGGGACTTATAGTGGCAGACATTTCCCTACGGATTTGGGCCGTACTCCGAGTCAGTTGATTGGACATGATGCGATATAGACTAGGATGCTTGCTAACTGTGAGATGATTTAGCGGCATCTTCTCGCAGTCAAACTATGGCATAGTAACCAAAATGGGAATGACACTGATGCCAAATCCGGGTGGCTTCGAAAGCTTTGTAAGGACTCAAAGAGCCGGTCTAAGGTAAAGACTGATATGATGGCTAGGCATATACGTTCCCTAAAGAGGAGGACCTCACTCAATTGGTAGGTGTTTCCTATTGTCAGAGGTTTCTCGGAGACTTCGCCAATCTGACACTGTCCAGATCGAGATTATCCGCCCATTGAGGATCAGCAACATTCTCGAAAACGCTGCGCAACTGCGCCATGTTATTCAGAGCATTGCGGTTGTAGGGCAGCCTCGGAGCACATACTACACGGGTGAGGGGGCCATTCCGATAGACATTATTCATGAAACAGCGTCAAAAACGCCGTTAGGTGATCACACTTGGGTTTACTATGGAATGTCGTATGGCCCGCCACATATTCGAAAGTATAAGCTTGATATCATCGATGCCGAGTTCAAAAAGGTACCTGGTGGGCGGCGCATCGACCCCGCGACTTTGCCGCCTAGTCACTATTTCTGGGCGCGTGACCGCATTGCTTCCGGAACTCCAGATGTTGAAGAATTACGATGGGTTCAATGGGTTCCGAACGGGGCACACAGTAAGTGGCGACTCGTACTTGCGACGTCCACTTCAAGTAGAGAACACAATCCCGGACAAACTCCGAGCTCAAGCTAGCGGATACTGACGACAGGTTTATAGTCGCTTTTTCGCCCGTCAGTCCGATCCGTGGGGCCGACGCGACGCGATTGATTGAGATTGCGAGGCGACGTCATCATGAATGTGGCATTGATCTTCTACCGGCTTTCATCGTTGGTTTACGCGAGATGCACCTCATAGTCGAGATCGTATACGACCGGACAGACAAAAAACGTCGGAAAGCAGCGCTGGACTGCCTTCGTGCCATGATTCAGGATGCAGCGGAATGCGGATACGGCGAATACCGAACGCACCTCGTGCTAATGGACCAGATTGCCGGGACGTACAACTGGAACGATGGCGCGTTGATGAAATTCAACGAGAAGCTCAAGGATGTGCTGGATCCTAACGGCATCTTGGCTCCTGGACGCTGTGGTATCTGGCCAAGACAATATCGGGGTCGCGGCTGGGAGATGACACGCGAAAGCGGTGAAAGCTCGCAGGGCAATGGCGTCGCAGCGGATTGAAGGATGGCATATGACGTTTGATATTCTCGTCCTGATGGGGAGTCTTGACGCCATCAAGGTTGGGCAGGGCTAAGGCTCGGTATTAGCAAAATATTAGCAAATATTTAATGGCGGCTGGCATGTATTGCATAGTTTTGGGCAGTCGTGAGTTTCTGTTACGAAATGATACAGTGCCATGCACTGTGTCACTCCGCCTCTGGCCTGCCGGCATATATGATATATCTAACGAGGTCATAGTGCCAATAAGGACACGCATACTGTCCCTCAGTCCTACTAAATAAGTGCCCAGACAAAGACGGCTCTTTGCACAGTCGGCGGAGTCTGTCCGCGGAGATGCGTTTCGAGCAAGGCCTTGCTGCTGTGATTCCTGCTGTTAAAAATCGTATATATCCGTGACGAGGGACACCGGTTGGATGCAACATGAAGCGAGGGTCGAGACACCGGGCGTCTGGGATGCTATCTAAAGATTTAAGTGAAGAGATCCGAGATTCCACGGCCCTGATCCGTTACCATAAATCCCGATCCGCCGATCCTCCTGGGAATTCTTGGCCATGGCCGTCGTGGTTCCGTTCTGGCAGTTGAACTTCGACATCGACAAATATGTCAATCGCCTCATTCCCGATCCCCCTTGGCACGCTGTTCCCTACCCAATCGCCTATATCCTCGGCTATAGAAAATCCCTCCCAGAGACACCCCTCGGAAATTTACTGCTTGCCGCGCGGGCACTATTAGGTGTCTTCATCAGTATCCTGCTAATCCAGGTAATAAGTCACCAAATCCCGTGGGTGGCTGCAGATGGCCCGCGCATTATAGGAAGCTTCGTATGTTCTCCAATTACCATTCATTCCCCTGTTCCCTTCCCGCCGCCCTAACGAGATGTAGGGTGCCGCTGCTGTGCTCGAGTTCTACGCCTTCGAGTCGCCATTCGCACAGCCACGTAACTTTATCGCCAGTCAGGTCATCGCTACCGTCGTTGGAGTATCACTTTGTAAGCTCTTCCAGCTGCATTCCAACGAGGAATGGATTCGCTGGCTAGGCGGCTCCCTTGCCTGTGCCGCGACCACGTCTTTGATGGGTCTCACCAAGACCATACACCCGCCTGCTGGAGCTACCGCGCTATTGGCCGTTGTAGATGATAGAGCTGTGCAGATCGGCTGGAAGCTTATACCACTCGCACTCCTTAGCTGCAGTATCATGCTCATAGTGGCTCTAGTTCTGAACAACATATTCAGCAGGTTTCCTCTATATTGGTGGACAGCAGCTAATTTGAGATCGATCCCGCAAGAGCAGCTTAGTGGGTTGTCTGTCGACGATGAAGAAAAAGGGAAGTCTCAGCGCTTTGAGATTATAATTGGTGATAAGATTATTGTCCCCGAGCATATACAGCTTTCGGCAGAGGAAAGACTCTTGCTGGAGAAATTATCGAGTAGATTATAGACGATAGACTTACTATTGTCTGGGGGCATATACTATGCTGTTAGCGAATACAACGAATAAGGAATTTGTTCTAGGTTCAATGTGACTCATGTCAGTAAGGTTGAATGTCATAGTTTCTGGATTCTGTGTTCAGACATGGCGATTTTGCGGGGATAATACTCTAGTAGGTATTTTCCAGGGGACTCTTCATCAGCCACAACCTGATACAGGCTCTTGGAAGCCCATGTCCGAATCCCGTATAGAACAGTCTGTCGCTTGTTCTAGAGCCTTGAAGCAAGAATTACAATCTGGAGACAGGCACATAAATCCCCCTAAATTCTAATCCCCTATCGACTGACACGAGACTTGCTGGTTGAAGAGATTCAAAAAATGCCCCGAGGGCAGTATGATCACAGGTCCATAGAGAGCGAGGCTTTAAGTATTATAACAGTTTAATAGGTAGCTAGAATGACTAGAAGATCTACTCTTATAAGCAAACGATAAGATATACAGGAAGTATATCACCTGAGTCAATCGACGGCATATTTCCTAAGACTATTATTGATATTGTTATCAAACTAGACCCTTCTTGGCGAGCCTTTCGCCATGCAGTAAATGCCCAGAATCATGGGCTGAAGTGGCGAGTTCTGGATGGGGCACGACTACCACGGCACACAATACTGAAGGCTGAGAGGGCTACTCAGTACGAAACTGTGATCTAAGCGTGTGATTCTAGTGAAATATATAATTTTGAATATAAAGACGAAAGAGAGACTATGCTTCCGTTCAAGGCTAGGTTGTGCTAAGCGGCAAAAGGGGTCACAGTGGTTAGTTATAGAAGGAGTTGGTCATCAAAGTAGACATGCATACTCTAATTACCCCTCCCAGCAATTATCAAAATGCCGCCGGGTCGCTTTCCGAGACCCAAGCTAGGAGGGTATCTTCCTATAAGGAATAGGATGAAAAGAAAAAATATAAAGTCTCCCGAGCGTGAGTCGAACACGCGACCTGTGGATTATCATGGTGTTTCAATTACAGTCCATCGCTCTACCAACTGAGCTATCAGGAGGATGAATGAAAATTCCGATTTCAACATTCAACCTATATCCCAGACTTCAAATAGTTTCTACCTACTGTGCTTGGATACATCCACGGACGGGGTTGATTTGAAAGAGTAGCCACATCATTCTTACTAAAGTATCAAGGCATCTTCGACCCGGGTGATGGCGTTGAAGTCGATGTTTGAGAAGGATGTTGGTAAGTCTACTGTTCATGGCAGCCATCCAGTTGCAGCCACCCTAATGTAGGCAGAAGATTTTGTTCTTCAACTCTCTCCCATTTTACTCGCCTCAAGCTCATGAATCAATTAGCCCGTAAATCGACCAATGCGAGCTGACAGCGACATAAAAGCTCCCCATGACCATGATTTATAGCTCTTACTTAGCGAAGTGGGATATTTTCTTTCCACTTGGGTGTACTAGACTCGGCCCCCGAATATTCTATGTACGAGATATTCCACGCCGTACAGCTATTAAGCCATCAGAAATCCCATCTGTATTAGCTTGGCAGGTGAAAAGGGTATGTTGGTGGCGCTGGGACTCGTGACTCAGGTTAAGCTCGATGTTAGGAGCCCCTTAGGCGTGTTGTTGGTGAATGATGCGGCACAACAACAGTCATAATGGAATCCATCCTGGCGTAGAATTTACCTGCGAGGCGGGAAATGTAGAAACATCATACTTGAGTACGGGATTCGATCTTTATCAACACCGCACGACTTTCCCGCCAGTCGTTTGAAACACCACATGAACATTATGTATCCGTCCCGATACGATGTAGAGTTCAGTGAGGCATAGCATCATCAAATAAACATATAAACATGATTGGTATTCCAAGGGATGTATCAGCTATATTGTGTGTGTGGTGTTTATGGCTGTATTCAGCGTAGGATATTAACATATAATGCAGCCGCAATACGTACTGGTTAGGCAACGAAGCACATAACCAGAATTGCTTTGTTTATGTTTTGGCTTTTTGAGTCCGCTCAAACTGATCGACGGGGTCTTGGAGGAGCCCATTTCCGACGCTAAAGAGGTCAAATAGAAATGTTAGGCCACAAGCGACTGCCAGTGTGACGGCATGGTAATCATAGCGGGTTTCAAGCAGCACTATCACGTACGTTGTTATGGTCTCTGCCCAAGGCCGGCTGATCGACCAGTTGTTTGATGAGGCCAAACAACACCCCCATCTTCTCTCGATACGTGTGATAATTCGCCAGCCTCCCGGCTTCAGTCTCTCATGATTAGTTCGTACCAATCGTATCGCCATCAACACAGCCATATGGCTATTCCTCCCAGGCAGAAACGTTCATCATTTGTTGCCAAATTTCGAATCTACGTTGAGGTCACCACGATGTTCATCGTATCTATGGGACAAGATAACTCACACTAGTGGTGAGAGCTTGGAATATTTAAAGAGTCGGAGCAACCCTTGAACAATCCCTCTTCTCTTTTGCCCACCCCATCACATACTTATCACTCTTAATTTCGACCATATTCGCGGTATAAAAATCAGAAGCTTCGAAAGAGCCGATAATATCCAACCCTCATCTTTCATCATGGCAGCTATTGCTCAAGTTCCAGTTTCAATTCCAGGCCTTCATGTTTCTCTAACGATTGAGGACCTCAAACAATCGTCGCTGGTGTAAGTTTCTCACGAAATATTAATAGTATATCCTAACTCTGCCATAACAGTTACAATCTCCTGCCAGACGACAGGGATCAGCCCCATGTTCAGGAAGTCCACCTCCAGCAGCTAGCAGTCATTCTCAAGCACTACGGCGTCCAGAATAAGTTCGGTATCCACCTTATTCATGGACACCTTCAGCTTGAGTCCGATAAAATCATGCTTGGAACTGCCCTTACATCGGTTCGAGGTTGTTGGACCAAGCCTACTAGCATCAATCATATTAACTTAGCAGAAATCCATGGCCACATCTTCAAGCTAACGCCCAAGGGCGAGCTACAGGCATATGAGTACCGTGAAGGATCAGTTATGGATCTATCCGATGTCGATGCTGCGTTCTTTCATGAATTGACTGAGTATCTTAAAACCAACAATTTGGTGGATCTTCTAGGGGTTCAAGTTCTTGGTAAAGAAATCCCCGAGATGATGTGCGAATTTGTCCTCCAAGACAATGGGACTGTCATGCTGGATTCGAGAGATGTGAAAGGCTGGTCACCTTACCGCACTACAGGCTTCTTCTATGCGCCGGGCATGACTAGCTTGAGCGGCGGAGAGAAGCACGCCAAGAAGACCAACGGTAATCATCAGGTATTCGTTGACGGGAAGATTGGCAAGGAGGATCCCCTCATGGATGTACTTAGGGCTCAAGACATTGTCTACTGAGTCTATATATCCCCAGTTGGACCATAACCTGGACGATACATTTCCTGGAGTCGCGCGGCACAAACTCTCCTATCTACAGCACATGATTTTCAACACAGCACCTAATTCCCCTATCCACAGCACACTATTTCTAGGGATATTCGCGGCGTTTTTGCACAATACCTACCCTTCCACTCTCCTTAAACATAATCCACGGCAATAATTGCAGTAGATAGTTTATCATCTTCCTTTTGTTTTGGCACTATTAGGCTAGTATTTAGCCCCGAGCGCTTTGTCTAAGAGTCAAGAATTGGTCTAGCGCATTCACGTTCGTTCTTCTAATATAAGTATTACATCCCCAACCTATATGATGCTTTAAAATGTGCTGTAGATCGTCATATTTACCTTCATCATCTAATTGAAGAGTTCTGTTGCTCTTTGTCTCGACACCGAGCTTTGTGTTTGTAAGATTTCTCAGTCGGACCATCAGCAGCTAAGGAACTGGCGGAAGTGGCCGTGAATTAAGTGTCAGTAGCAGGAAATTTTCAGGGGTATGGGGGCCTAGAGTGAAGCTAGGTCATAGCTAGACAGCACCTAGATGGTAGGAAGACCCAAATATAGGGTAAGGGCTCACTGAAATTGCTTTTTAGCTATCTTAAGAACTTTGGGAGACCTAGGCCCTTTACATACTTAAGTCTGAAGCTGTCTTCGCCCCTACAAGGTTAACTTCTACCCTATTGTTACTTTATCCCTTGATAGGAATATGGGGATTTCACAATACTCTTATAGAGCTCAACGAGGTGACTGTGGAAGAGGCTACGCAATGATGTTCCTATGGGATCAACGAAGACTTTAGAAGTAAATCACAAGCTTAATTCCTAAATCCCGAACCTATTGAAAACATACCCTTCTCCCGACCTCCAAAGGCCTGCGTAACAAGGCTAGAACTACACATATGAAGTTCTCTGTTTTATGTCCTAGTGACCCTCAAGAACCCCCTTCGCAATGTAGTGGTATTCAAATTTTTTTTTTTTTTTTTGCATTGACAATGACCTTGACAACAACATATCCAAGTTTTGTCGCGGAGTAGTGGTATGCCATATAAAGGCCGTTAATCTTGCAAGGGATGAACGGCGTCTTTTTTTCCGTGACAAGTTTACATGAAAGGCATCCAGTCATCAATAGTGCAGAATGCATCAAGATAGGCGAAGGAGTGCAATTCATGGACCACACCTTGACAGACCTTGCCATCTCTGAGCAAGCCATAGTGGTAAAACAAGCCAGTCATCCTGGCAATATGAATTAAGGGTAAATCATCATCGGATAGATTTTCGGCCTCCTTCCGAAAGGTATCCCAGAATATCTTCTCGAGCTCGTGCCGGTTGTTAAAGTAATGCCACCCCTTGGAATTCATGTAGCCGAGAATGTTCTCTAATGCCCATAACGTCAACCCGAAGGGAAGAATCCTGGCCTCAGCCCAATCGACGACACCTGTGATGCTACCGGTTTCGGGCTGAATGAGGATGTTCATCTCCCGAAGGTCATCATGACAGAAGACAAAAGGGAGAGTGTCTTTGAAGAGGCGTGGCAACTCTTTGCTAACTCTGTCTAAATTTGGTGCAAAACGGGACGGCAATGATTGAGAAAGAAGTTCAAACTTGTCACGGAAATCCGCAAGCAAGGCAGCTCTGTCATCTTGGTGTAACTGCTGTCTGTGATTCCACGACTGCGCAAAGAACCTATATGTTATTAGTCAATCCGAAAGAAAGTGAGGGGGTTAGGACAGACTTGGCGAGGTGAGCGGCGGTGTTCTGCTGTCGGGCCACAGCGGCTGGTGATTGCTCAACCGACGCGGGGCGTGCCGTAATATAATTAGTTCCTGGGAGTTTGTTCATCTCGTAAATGTGGAGTGGTTGTGACTGGCCTATTGTGCCATGGTACTTGCAGTCAGCTATGAGTTGCGGATGGATGGTTTTAGCAAGATCAATGATAGAAATATCAATGACAGAATTATGAGTTCGAAACTGGAAAATTCTGGACTCGTTTCGCCCAGCCATGATAGTATAACTGTATGATCCCTGAATTGGGACTGGAACTACCTGTCCACCGACTCGTGAGAGTGCAAAATCATCACACTGCTGTCTTGTTACGGTTTTGTTGCTTTCAAAAAACGAGGTGATTGCGCTATCAATGCTATAAATAATCAACATGTTGCAAGCTCTTGGGCGAACGAATAGAGGTGAAACGGGGTTTGAAATGAGCTTATCTCGCAAAGTAGAGCGGCGCCAAATGCAATGATCTGAAACGAATTTTACTTTTGAAGTAGGCAGGTAGAGTAGGTACCCAGGTAGGTATTTAATAGATTCCTCACACACATATATGTGCATATACCTAGTGCTGTTGGGCTGTTAGATGCAAGAGCTGCATATCGAAAAGGACCCCGCAATCCACTGGTGTGGTCAGAAGGCCAAGACTGAGTGGCCCTCACGGGGGTAGAAAACCACGTCCATAGGTGTATCAGGGCCGAGGCTATTGGTCATTGAGAGTCACAAGCTCAGACTGTTATATGTAGGCGCGACTGACAATAATGCCAGGGAAACCAATAGGCAGAAAGTCTTAGATTGCCTGAAACCTAACGGGCACCAACAGTCAGTTCATCTCCCACTTCGAACGACGAAAAACACCAAAGACCTCTGGGCCCCTACGGAATTATTAGTCGAAGATGATTAGGTTCCAACGCCTTGTCATAAGTTATTCGCTAACCCAGAACCTCAGCGTCTTCTCACGTCAACACATCTGACACCATCTTCGAAGGAAACTATCGGCTATCTACTAATACATAGACGCATCAGAAAACTCAATCGAAGTTTACAAGCCTTTTAAGGCTGCTGGCTTTAACTGGTGACAAGACCCCAGAGAGATATTCATGCCCCTAGGCGGCCGAGATTCAGCTGTTGGCGAGTGCTCCAGAGGGCGTGATATGATTGCTATTGTTGTGTCAGAAGTGGAATGCAGTGGTACTTGACGATCCACATACTGGATTGTATATAAAGGACTCTTCATCCTGCCGTAAGGCGTATTATAACTTAGCCTTCTTGATAATTAACGGGATTACATGTACTACTCTTGACAGCACGAACTCTAACGGGGCTTTAAATGTTACACGTGTAACCTCTGTACCGGCTGAATTATGCAGTTCGCCTTGCACTTCGGCCGTACGAAGGACAGGCTTGTTCATGATCTTACAGAGACATGCGGGCAATATTGGGAAATATTGGAAAGTGAGGTTATACAGGCTTCGCTTCTTGAAACAGACCCCAGAGACCTAGGCGGTCTGGGCTGGCAGACTAGTCGTATACAGAGTCGAGTCAAGCCACCAACAGCCAAGAAGGAGTTGGTTGGTCAAGGACTTATGCAGCCCTAGTTGTTCATTATAATCTGAATTCCTAGTTCCAAGCCCAGTATCTCTGCCTTTTTTATACTCTAACACGAGCTCATGAAGACATCTGGCCCTAGCAACCCTTTGCACAAGCGAGAGATAAAACAAACTGTCCATCACTGTTACGAAACCCCTGAGGATCTTGAAGTATGTTGCCGAGGGCAATCAATGACCGAAACAAAGAACTTCCTCCTCCTTCATGCAGCAAATTTCTCATGTTTACCTTTTCATTCGCGCCAACCGCCTTAGATTCTGTTACCGTCACTTATAGATCATTCAACCTAAAAGTGCTTGTGTTTCATCCTTGGTAGCCCCATATTTACCAGCGGATGTTGATGTTACTCTAGTGTCGGCTCGCGCAGCTTCGAGTGCACTCAGGTTTTGTGACCCCCATTGGGTTGCATCCAAGGTCCAAAGTGCATACAGACTGATAAATCCATGCAGATAGCTGAACAAGATAGACAGCGGGATGAACTTCAGGTCCGAAGGGTACTTCCAGAAGTGAGGGATGAGCTTAACTAGCTTCGTAAAGAAAATCCATGCTCCGAGGCTGGCATAAGCGACAGTGGCGGTATCCGACTGGGTGGTTCTTAGGGCTAGCCAGAGAAAGAAGAACAATAGCCCATCAACCAGAAGTGCTGGGGTTTGGAATTGGCCTACATAAATGTAGTATAGACCCCAAAAATACCGTGGCGAGTACCAATAAGACTCTTCAGTCATTACAACGAAATTTCCGTGCCAATGGCTTCGAGCCCAGCGTATGCACTGGCTGATATACTTTCGATCAGGTTCAACGGTGGTCTCGATGGTAGCGCGGCAGTCGGGCTGGATGGCAATTTTCCAACCACGGGAGTATACATACCGGGTGAGGCACTTATCATCACCCGTATGGATTTTCTTTCCTTTCCAGGAGTCACTCCTGAAGTAGTGGGCAAATTCGTCGGATTGCAAAATTTTGGTCCGGTAGGCTGCGGTTCTTCCCGACAACGTGCTGATAGATCCGTCAACACCATTTGTAGCAAGGTTGTTCCAAACCCGACGTTCAAGATAGCTGATACCAAGGAAGTTCCATCCGTCCGGACGCTCATTTCGTCTGACTCGCTGCATGGGGCCACCTGCACCGACCTTTGCGTCCTCAAAGACTGCAAGCAGGTATTCCAAGAATCTTTCAGGCCAGAATACGTCGTCATCGGCCAAAACTGTGATCGCGGTTTTCACAAGTGGCATGGCTCTCAGGATCTGTTCCCTCTTGTTCAATTTCGACACCCCCAAAGCCGTAACCTCAAAAGAGTTATCACGACAATATTTGACAAGGAGCTCAACATTTGCGTCACTGGTGACAATGATGATGGTAGATGGTGAGGAAGCTTTGATTGAGTGTAAACACTCGATGAGTTCCGGCGGTGACTTGAATGTTGTTGGGATGACCACCGTTACATCTTTTCCAGTATACCTGGGGTGATTGTGGATGACCTTTGGTCGAATCAGAAGATAGATGAAGATACTGGCAATTGTTCTTAGGTATCGGAAAGTGAATAAGGCCCAGAAGAGCCACTTCCCTGCGGAGATCATGGCTAAGGAGGCGATGTGCTAGCTTCTCGCTATGCCTAGCACTTATTGTGAAGGCACCTGCGTACTGAGATGAAGCTGGCCAAGCCAAGAGCTAAAGACGATATATATCTAAATCATACCGCAACATTGCCGGAAGAAAACATGTCAGGACCGCACATTTGGCATCTCCATAGCATCGGTATCCCGTGCGTCCTGAGCCATTGCGGATTGTTTCATGACTTGACCCCTATTGGCTTGACGTCTGAGGGGAACACAATGCCAGTTGCACATAGAAGAGATGGTTGGTGCCTCTAGTCTATGTCATTCGCCCAGCAGTAGTTTTGAGCCCCTATCTCTAGGGAGTCAACACATACCCCAGAAGATAACTATGACGTATGTAGTACATTGCTAGAAAGATCTGTGACTCTATGACTATGTTTGTGATACTTGAAGGATACATTCATTCTCCTTAATTATCATATGCTAATTGCCTACAAGGTCGAAGCTGGCCGTTTCCCCCCCCCCCCCCCCCCAATGAATGTATGCACGCATACATGAGTACAAACAATCAAGAACCGAGACCAAGGTAATGGGGTCCAAAACATTGACTACAGCTCGCTATATTCATATTCATTCGTTTGCGTCGACATTTATTTCTCGGGGAAGGACGAGCTCGGCGGTACACGTGGACCTTCTACACCTGTCACACCCAGCACATACATATTTCTGTTCATCGCGGACACAAATGCTGCTGGCTCTGGAAACGGGTTAGCCCGTTTCGAAGCTGTGATTTCACTGGAGCTTTTGAGGCTGGATGTTTGCACACCTCCTTATCAAAGGGCGCTATGGGGTGCTACCACCACCAGGGTACTGTAGACATTACCTGTTGCAGAAGTGTTTTGATCTTATTCGAGGGGGCGTTTGTGTTGGGTTTCTCAATGGCCTACAAATCCTTCCTAAGGGATGAATACATACATAGCAATTATTTCCATATCCTCATGAACTCCATATATACCTACGCCCCAGGTACATCGATAACGCAAGGAGATGAGTAGGTCCAGCCAATACTTTGAAGTGGTGCTCGAGTGAGAGCAATCCATGTGGGCTAAAGAAACTCGAGATGCACATGTTTTCAGATAAAGATAGTAGATGCTGGGAGCTGATAGTGAGCGAGGATCGACGAGCAAGAGATTGCCCAAGGGATAGGCCACGTGCTTTGTACATTCAAGGTAAGCAACACAAGCTGCTGCACAGAGGTTTCTAAACATTCCAGACTCAGTTCTAAATATTCTAATGCAGATGTCTTCATTATTTCGAATCCTCTAGCGTTCTGAAATGGCTCGGCTGAAGACTGCAAGGGGCTCATCAACTATGCCCACCAAACCTTCCCAACAAACCGCGAAAGAAATTAATGTTTGCTGTAATTCTACACTATCAACATCTTATGAAATATGGGAACGATAACCTCAACCCAAATTATAATAACTATAGCTAGGTCGAGATATATGAAAAGAAGAATTACAGCTGCGATAGATTCTACGTATGGCTGAGCCTGTAAGTGCATACTATGCTCAAGGAGCTGAGGCGCTTCATATTCAATGTAGAGAATAATACATCGATTGTTGGGCATATACCTGAATGATTTTATCTCACTCGACTCTTCTCTCGCTTATTGAAGGCCCAAACACGATAGCGAAAAAGTGAGAGGCCGAGCATAATTGGTAGAATTAACATTTCTCTCTGTGCGGAACGCTGACGAAACACACGAGTTCTCCAATACCTGTTTGTGCTTCTGGGAATTTACATCCATCAAGCTAATCTTTCGTTATAAGTTAATCTAGTGGTCTATAGAAAAGATTCAGATTCTCAGTATAGTCCGTATCAATTTAGATTAACCAATGTTTTCCGGATCTCGCATCTATCATCATTTGTCACTTGTCATGACTCCTTTGTCGTGGCTAATGCTATGGCCACAGCTGTAACGCCAGCCCCAGCCCAGCTATCCTACATAGTAAGTATTGTATATCACAACTCCTAGAATTTCTAGAAATTTACGTCATTCTATATTCTTAGCCCAGCGAACATTCCGATTAATTCATGATCCGTGCTATGCATAACAGCTCTGTTTGTTAGATGATTGAAGTTCTCTACCAAAGAAAAAAGAAATAAATAAAGTGTAGCTAGAGTTAATTGAACACATGACCTTTGCGTTGAACCCCTAAGTAGCCTGATGCGACATGTCTCAATGCGAAAGTATATTCCTCGAAGTACACGTCTGACAAGGGATATACAAAGTTCTCTGAAAACCGGTTTGGAAAGAAACCGAAGACCGGCAGCTCGCATTTCTTTTCATGATTAATATAGTCGCATATTTTTCGCTAGTCGTCGTATTGTCGTACAAACATGTCCGTGCCTGTCGGTAGTTCAGTTCCCCCGATTTTGCGGGGATGGAATACCAGATCTCAAAGCTGTCTCAGAATCGGATTCTTCCAATCACTGACAGCAGTAAATTTAGTCAGAATATGGCGTTGCGCAACATGCGCGTGGCTGCCGACAATATACCCCGTCCGTGGGGAACTCCGTGCGCTGGCCATCGCCGACATGACGGACCTAAACGGACCTCCGTATTGAGTTGCAGGCCGCCCGTGCAGGTTTATAAGAGACAACTTACAGCCCCTTCAGAGTAATTCAAACCCGAAGAGAGTCTAAGCTATCGAACGAACATCATCTGTCTCGCTACGTTTTGTCTCGGCAGTTACAGCATTGCGTCATCTGACTTCGAGTCCCTCTTCCCAAGGAAAAACAAAACAGATCCACGTATTCGGGCCACTCAAAATGGTGTTCAACGGTGATCTCAGCAAGAACATCTCGTTCGAGGACTACCTCGGCCTGACAACCTGTCTCGTCGAGTGGGCCGACAGCTACGATTCCAAAAACTGGGACAGATTGCGGAAGTGCATCGCGCCGACGCTACGAGTACGTAGAGATGACTCAATCCACATTCCAAATCCCACTTCCTCAAGCCCTTACTGCCATGATCCACTCAAGCTGACGCTCTCATCCTAACACGAATCAGATCGACTACCGTTCGTTCCTCGACAAGCTCTGGGAGGCGATGCCCGCGGAGGAGTTCGTAGCGATGATCTCGAATCCGTCCGTGCTAGGCGACCCGCTCCTGATGACGCAGCACTTCATAGGCGGCACGCGCTGGGAGCGCGTCTCGGACGACGAGGTCATCGGCATCCACCAGCTGCGCGTGCCGCACCAGCGCTACACGGACGCCTCGCGCTCCGAGGTCGCCGTCAAGGGCCATGCCCATTCGACTAACACGCACTGGTACAAGAAGATCGATGGGGTCTGGAAGTTTGCTGGGCTCAACCCCGAGATCCGCTGGACCGAGTATGATTTCGAACGCGTCTTTGCTGGTGGTCGCGATGAATTTGGGGCGGCCGATGATGCGAAGGCAGCTGCGGATATCCCCGTCCGTACTTAGAGGGGGATGAGACAAGCCAAAATGATACACTGGGAAGGAGGGCTTTTACCGCTAGGCATATCGCACATATCGGTCTTAGAATGTGCTTTGTTTGGCTATTGGAAGATATATCCAGGGCTGTACAAGAAGGATGGCGCAGGTCAATTTCATATCTCCGCGACCTGGAGCAGTGCCGTGGTCGGTCAATGATACGGGTAATGCTCTTAGGGACGCCAAGGTAGTAGACAATTATATCTCTGTATTCAGTAAGTAGCCAGCCAGCCTTCACTCTGTGTCAATTATATGCCATTACGCAACCATCTTGTACGATGATGTAGGTAGGCACCCAGGTATTATAAATGAAACTATCACAAGTACCTGAAGGAGGATCATTTACTTAAGGGATCGAATGATGCCAAATCAGGAAAGTGGGCTCACGTAACATGCACCTCAATTGGTTACACAAGACCCAAGTTCATCTAGGTACTTGTAGGGAAAATCCCTAAGAGATGTAGATAAGACACAGCGTCTAGGTCACAGCTTGCATTGAAATTTCCGTGTCGGGGTCCAGTATGCCGATTCTTGATTGGGTGCTAATCTAGCCCAATCTCAACCAGACAGCCCTTGCATACGCCTGCAATTCTGCAATACTCATAACGAAATCCCCCTCTTGTGGTCCCGGATCTCGAAGAAAGAGAAGCCGAAACGAAAGGACCAATGTACCGCTAGTAACATTGTATGATATAGGGTTCGTGGCCATATTCTGGGTAATAGTGATGCTCTGTTGCAATATTGGCGTATGAACAGGGTTAGCAGCTGACCTTCGTGTTGTTGTAGCGCCTCTGCGCGTTTGTATTTCTTCTTCCCACCTCTCAATTATAATCCTTTGATTAGGGCGATCAAGCTTAGTGAGAAGCACAATATTAACCTGATGGTCTGACGCAGAAAACCACCACCTCATATCATTTTGTAGTGCATCTAGAGGCTCGGAGTCTCCAGCTTCAATAACTAGCGTTGGCCAGGCGCCTGTATAGCAACGTTCCGGTATTGGACCACCGCTTGAATCACCCTCTCCACTATCACCTCCAGGCTGGCCTTGTGGTCGAAAGGTAGTGCTACCAATTGGAATCCAATTTTCCTCTTGACCATTTCTAGCAAGCTTATGCTCGTATCTTCGATAGAGCTGAAGATGAAGTGCTTCATGTAGGATGGTAGGGATTACAATAATTAGAATGCCTGTACTAGCATAATAGCGGCGAAGGCGAAATGGGCGATGTTCTTGGCGAGTAAGTTCGTCAAAATCAGTAGGTAAGACATCTACTAATTAGCATATAATATTTTGAAAGAATGAATGTCTCTATACCTGTAACGATAAGATAATCACCAGAAATACGATTGATTGCCTGGAGGAGCTCTTTAACGTTTGTAAACCGTATAGTTGGTTCGCCTTGAGATGCTTTTTTATCTGAGGCCACCGTAGCGGGTAGGGTCGAGAGGGAGGGTGGTTCTGATGGCATTGTTTATTATGAAGGGATTCTGTGATGAAAAGTCGAAGTTGATAAAGTTTCTGTGATGGGGGGATTCTGTGATCAAAAGTCGAAGTTGTGATGGAGAGTAAGGCTAAATGGCGTGTGACTACCATACCGGGATTGGGGGGGTAGGGAATAGAATTGTTAGCTAGTATTTTTCCAGGTAAAAATAGTATTCGTAGGAAAGACACGCAATTTTCAGTTATATTTTAAGCCTATTAGTTAGAAAATAATCTTCTATTAAAAATAGTCTTTGCTTTGAAAATGACTTATGTTTGCAAATAGGTTTCAACTTTGAAAATGATTTGAAAATGACTTTCATTTGAAAATGGTATGCCAATAAGCCATATAGAATTAGGGCTATAGGAATAGCAATAGCGCTATAGGGGCTACAGGTCTCTAGGGGGGCCACCTACAGCCCCATAGCCCCATAGCCCCTACAGCCACTATAATAACCCTTATCCAATCCATCGCCAGCTTCAAGGATAATAGCTGCAAGGATCAATCCAATCAATCCAATCCACCACCACCACCACGACCTATTATATTTCGCAGCAGCCAGTCTTTCGTACAGCTGCCAGACTTGCAAAAATCCGATAACACTACAACCCTCGCAGCCATCGTTTTCTAGACCCCCCCCCAAACCCGCTATGGTACATTGTAGCTATTGTTAGTGGGGTTGAGGCTGCCGTTTTCGGAAGGCTCAACCCCAACACGGGCACTTTAGATGAAATATCCATGCAGTTAGGTAAGGAGGTAGGATAGATCTCGTAACTAGTATACCGAGAGAATGAAGAGAGTCTACATACCCTTTACAAATGAAAATAGTGTGCGTGACAAAAGACCTGGAGGTACTACGAAAGCGAAATTATTGGACAAATCATGCTAATAGAAGGGCCGGTTTGGTAGGTATCATCAGTGGTGGCCATGTCCATGTCCATGTCCACCATGCCCGGCTTGGGCACGTCGAAACCATCTACGCTTTGGCGTTCCAGTGCCCGTCGGCTGACCCGTCCCATATAGCACTCCATCCGTGCCCGTGCCGTACGAACTTGGGAACGGCGGCTCTACGGTCTTGGTGCTTGTGACTGTGGTCTCCGCAACCGTCACCGTAGCATACACAGTTGAGGTTGTAGGCTCGCAGATGCACTGGCCATTGTCTCCGACATATCCCTGCGGTGATGTCTCGTACACCGTGTTGGTTTGTGTGACAGATGAAGTGATAGTCGTCACATCGGCATGCTGAGTGGTAGTCACAGATATGGTCGTCGTAGCCGTACTATTGGCGGGCCTTCTCCATCAGTACGGGTATCTCTATATTCAAAGAACTCTCCGGCATGGGACGTATTAGGAAAGAGCAGAAGTTATTACTGACCTAGAAAAGCTCATTTCTACCGTGCTTTCAATCTCACTCATCGTGTAACTTGGTACGTCCGTCGATGACGTGAACCTAGATGATGTCTTGCAACAATCGGGACAGTGATCACCGCTGCAGGTTTCACATATTGCGGGGCATCCCAAAGAAGATGGAGAGGTTCTAGCCAGAGTGGACGAATCCCCAATCACGAGAGAGGTGATCGATACAGTTCTAGTCTGCGTCTGCTCAGTGTTGGCGGGCAACGACGATGCAGTCTCTTCATCTTTGACAGGACAGACAGTGGTATATGCTGGAACCAGCTCCGTGGTGACCGATCCGATATTCGAAGAACAGTCGATAGCGCCGGATTCGCAAGAGCTCACAGTGTACACGCTAGTAGTATAGACCGTGGATGTGGTCAATAATATTGGCGAAGTTGGTGACCCCTGAGCGCTCGTGGCTTCTCCCTGCTCGACAGGGCAAACGGTTGTGTATAGAGATACAAGCTCGGTTGTCACTTGGCCCACCTTAGCTGGACAGTCGGTGATCGTTGGGGCACAAGAAGTGATTGTGTATATATTTGTTGAGTACACGGTAGATGTTGTCATTGCTACTGTGGTGCTCGACGATTGAATAGTCGAGCTTTGGAGCGCTGTGGTATTTGGGTAGAACACACTAGACATTGAGGGAGATGAAGAAGTTCCCATTGAAGGTACCAAGCTCGTCGACGCGGAGCCACTTGATACTAGCGAAGTTAATGATTGGGAAGGAGTGGATACTGGGTAGCTGGATCCTGAGATGGACGGTGTTGCTGCTGGTGTAGTGTCCGGCTGTCCACTGAACGTCTTTCCATCTATAATGGTATTGGTGACTGGACAAATAGTTGTATATAGTGATACGGTCTCAGTAGTAACTTTTCCTACCGGGCAGTTCTTAACAGTTGCGGCGCATGATGTAATGGTAACAATATTCGTTGAGTAAACTGTCGACATGAAGGAGGTAGTGATCTCGGAGCTAAAAGTATATGTCGTAGGCATTGTTTCCGATGAGGCATTCGAGTGTACGCTTGAGCTCGGGTGCAACCCTGAGCCACTTGATGACGAAGTCGCCGTTTTGACAGAAGACGATGACGGAGATAGGATATTCGAAGAAACAGAAGAACTAGACGCGACTTTCGAAGTCGTTACAGAATCTGTAGTCTTTGCTTCGGTCACGGGGCACAGCGTGGTAGACAAGGAGACTAGCTCAGTAGTAACTTGTCCCACAGGGCAATTCTTCACAGTCGGCTGACAGGACGTGACAGTGTATATTTTCGTAGAATAGACGGTGGATATGGTACTCTTAGTCACAATATCACTGCTGCTACCGCTCTTGCCTGTCGTTGGACTTGGGCTTGCGGAGCTGGTCGTGGCAGGAGTGGTACCCTGAATGTTTGATGAGCCGGGGGTGCTTGAAGAAGAGATTGAGGCACTCGAAGAGGCGGTGATGAGCGTAGCTGTATATGACCCTCCGCTGCTACTGGGTTTCGAGGATGCAATGCTCGATAGCACCCCAGAGCTGGTGCCTAAAATTAGGGAGCTGAGGCTACTAAAGATGCCTCCAGTACTTGAGGGTGAAGCGACCGGGTAGCCGCTAGAGGCAGAAGAAGCTGGATGTTTAGAAGAGGTAGTTGATGGGGAAGATGTATGTTGACTCGTCACGGTGCCACCAACAGGATACCCCGATGAAGAGCTTATGTATCTGTGGCTGGATGACGTACCAGCAGACTCTGGTACCTTCGAAGTAGGATACGCGCCTTGCGTTTCAGTAGGAACAGGGGTTTCGGAACCGGCAGTATTTTTTATGATTTTCGGGGGAGAAGACGGAGAGCTACAGCCTTCGTGAATCTTTTCAATGCCAGAAATCTTTCCACTCTGAGTTCTAATATCAGCATAGGCGGATCTCGCCCTTTGTTAGGAAATACGTACTCTATCCTTATACTTATATTCGCACGCGGGATATTTGTTGGTAATCTAGCGTATCAAATCGTGTCAGTTCGGTTCTTTATAACATGATTTCTAGACGAATCTAAGGTTCACATACTACGACAACAGTTAGCTTGATAAACAATAGGCTTCTTCGCCAGCAACGAGTCTCAATATTGGCAGGATAGTGGTTGATAATACATACCATTGACACTTCGGACATACATAGTATAAGGGACGTTCTTAAAGTCGATCTCGCCCCCAGCCCACTGAATAGTCCAGTAGTTGTTCTCAGGATCACCTCCGCCCCAAACTCCTAGCTGTAGCTTCATGGGTGACTGTGGGAAGACGAAACCAGATGGTGTATTTGACGCTTTAACACTCCGCACAACGTGATTGTCGACGTACCAGTTCATATGGTCAGCGTCCCAATCTACTGAGTAGGTATGAAACTGCGTTGTTGGCTTATACACGTCCTTTTGATAGGTAGCTGCTCCATCCCACATCTTCCCCTGTGCAAAGATATTCGTCTCGACCGTCCACTTTCCATCCGGGGGTGGGAAAGGCTTCTCTCCGTGCTGGTTCCCTGAGAACTCCCAGTCAATTTCGTCTTGGATATCCGACCACAGAACCGCGCTACTTATAACGCCCTGATTTATGCCCTAGAGTCAGTAGTTTCCAAAAAGAGTAAGAATTCAGCACATGTTATCGGGAACTATAAGAGAAATGAAGTCTGAAGCCCGTCTAAGTGAGGAAAAAAGAATTGGCCCCAGTGACTAACCTGGCCCGGCGCAATCTGTAACTCAACGTCGTATCTCCCACCCAGCATATAGAAGTCGGTCCACATATTCGGCGCATCTCCCTTTTTCCCATAAGTAAATTCGGCGCCCTTTGGTGTGAAATTGACAACCTCATAGTTGGCGATAGTCCAATCTTTCGGGGGACCAGTTTGTTTCGTGAAGTCTATGTAGTAATTTGCATCTGGCAAAGCTTTCTTGGCTGGGCAGTCGGCATGAAGCGGATTGCAATCAGGTTCAAGCTGCCCATTTACGAGCCACGGAGCGAGCCCTATGGTGCTAAGCAAGCCAACGATTATTCTTTTAGACATATTGACCATCCCACGTAACTTCTATGGCAAATTTGGATCAATTTGATTGTTGAAAGGGGGAGCTTCGTGGACGGATACTCGCATGGGAAAGAATTCACCACCTCATATCAGTAGACCAGTGATAAAGAGTCATTGTGTCTTTGCATCTTAGAGCTATTTCCAACAATATCAAAGCAAGCATGAAAGAGGCCGGAGCCTAGTCCCCAATCCGGTCAAAATGAACATCGGGTTCCTTGGTCATACAATCAAAAATTATCTCTTAGATGCAGCCTTAACAGCTCTTGTGAAGGAACATTGAGGAGATCATTTGCCTCTTCAGATTATCAAGCCGTAGTGACTTTGTAGAGCTAAAATTAGTGGCGGAGTCTCTAAGTGCCTTTCGAATGCCCCTTTGTTACCACTTAGGCCGACTATAGCCATTAATATTTGTTTTTAGATAATCAATTGGAAAACATAGAACTTCTCACATACTTTGCAATTAAGTTAAATTACTCTATGGTGACTGAAGAGAGCCGCGTTTCATGGTAGTATACACAATCCGGATATTTTGCCTATATTTCTGATACTCAATGTATATTTTCAAACAAGGAAGGAGTGTATTTGACTGTATGTATATGTCATGCTCTAGGTAATTCAAACCATCTGCCGGGATCCGGAATTAAAGTATGATATCATTGCATGTCAAACAATTGTCCAAGTATATTGAAGACCTCGAGGGAACTCAAGCTATGAGGGATACCTCCTTATCAGTGTCATTAAGCTCAGACTCTACCTCCACCTTGACATATGTAAAAGTAATTAGGGTATTGCAGCATCCACACCAATACTAACAATTCACAGTGACAGTTGTTACAGCTTCTAATTCCAGATGTTGGGGCCTGCTTGACACTGTTGCCAGGGAAAGGTGACCCTGTCTTGAACAAGCAAGAAGAGCATGGGAGCTCTATCAGGAATGCCTGGGTAGAACTCTAATTACTAAAGCACAATAGGCAGCCTGGATGGATTAACGGTTGACGATTGAACTTACAATAAGCTTAAATTAACTTTATTTGATCATACTCAATTGAAGGAGGGTGCCCCTCCAAATCCCTCTTCAGATCATACACTTCAAGATATTAGTCAGTCCCATTCAGTCCCAATTTGAGACCTATTAACGAGGCTTAAACCCTTCAGCTACCTAGTTCCATCTACGAAGCCAGGCATGCAGGAGGGGGTTCCCTTATTCAATATTCCCTTGTGATTTAGGTGCTATCACGATCTAACGGGAAACCATTTGCCGTCACATCTCAGCTCACAATGGCGCGCCCTGGCGTTCCCACTCCACTATCCCGAAGAAGGAGCGGAGCGGCGTGGGAGAGTGGGGGCTGCAAAAAGCTGAACCCTTGAATTGGGCTTTCCAAGGCCGAGTCGGGGCGGAGAGTACCTCCCTAACCTAGAGCACAGCACAGTCTACTGGTACACATCTGGGTACAGCAGCTGCTCATTAAACACACCGACTATTAGTATTAGGAAGGTAGTAAAGGAATGTGCCTGACCAGCACACAGAATATATGAACGTCGCAGAGAACGTAGCATTGCTGTGTATTAGCTATTAGCCAGCAGTGCTGAAGCAGCGGAGGCTGGGAATACCGTCGTCTACTATGTACATGTATAGACAAGTACCGTGCCGTATCCACTGTTTTCGCCTCGCGGTCCTCGTGGTCCCTGGGGCAGACCTACCCACCCTCTAGGAATCTCTAGGCAAACTCCGGGGTCCTACACCACTGTGCACAACATCCTGTACCATCGCCTTCTTTTTCTATTGTTACTCCCATCATTTGTCATTTGCTGTGCCTCTTCATTGGCCGCCTGCTATTCCTTTCATCTTTTCCGGCCCTTTCTGCCCCTCTCTAGGCCACAGCGTGCATCGAGGCGCACCACTCTCGTTTCAGTGACAGAAGCCTTGTCTCTCCCGCCAATCCGCCCTCCCCGCGCGCCGTCAACAATCACACCTAACCACGACCTCGGCCCTCCTTCGTTATACGATATCGCAATATCGTCTCACCATCATATATGATGATATAGCCTCCCCTTCTCTCTCGATTTCAGTGGTATATATACCTTGAGGCATCCCTATCGCCGCATCCCGCAACGATCCAGAACCTGTGTAGCGTGACCATGGGAGTCTTTGGCGGGAAGTCGAAGTCGAAGTCGGCATCGACCGTTATGCGCGTTGAGAAGGTCGTCGTGCCTACTAAACCTCGGCCAGACCTAATACCAATTCATAGCGTGCGCGCCTCATCCGCTCACGTCTCCTCATCCTCAAAGTTATCTCCCAACCCGCGCACGTCGCGACCGAAGAGCGCATCTCCCTACCCCTCGTCATCTGACGAGCGGCGGATCGAGCGGAAGCGCAAGGCTGTGACGAGTACGCCACGCGACTCGCCCGCTTTTGGCAACGACTCCGACTCCGAAGACGATGATGGTGACCCATTTCGAAAGCGTATGCGACGGAGCGATGGTAGAACAGTTGACGTAAACCGCAAGTTGCGCCACAAAAAGGCATTTGGTGACGATGTTAGAAGACCCAATATCATACATGCAGCTGATATTGCCTCGAGAGCGACTAAGTGCCCCCCGATTCCGGGCGCAAAGGATGACGAAGTGGCCATCGAAGTACAATATCCCTCACGCTGCGCAAGGGAGAGGTAAGTTTGCTTCCTTGGTCACGTTCTAAACTACAGTGCTGACTTCACATTGGAGATATGAGCTTGTGTGGCAAAAGGATAAGATCGATGCGGTCAAAGACATTCTCGCCATCATCGAGTGTGTAGCCGAGACATATCTCACTGATGCTGACTCGAAGGCCTTTATTGATCACAACATGAGTTTTCGGCGACAGATGGAGCGCGCCATAAGTGAAAAGTATCGGGATGTCTCAGCCTTCCGGTCAGCACTTGACAGCTACAACAGAAAACTTCTAGAACTGGTAGAAAGTGGTGCTGTCGCCAGGACTCTCGACCGAATCCATCATCTGCCATCCAGTATTGTCTCCTTGATCCTCACCCAGGTTTACGATCGCACGGTCGCCCCGAAGGTCGAAATGCTCACCAAGTATGACGCTGGGAGTGACAATGTTTACGGAGAGTTGCTACATCCATTTGTGACCAAAATCCTGGTAGAACAGACAAAAATGACATCAGATCAAGTCTTTATTGATCTCGGATCCGGAGTCGGAAATGTTGTCCTCCAGGCCGCACTCGAGATTGGGTGCCGCAGCTATGGGTGCGAGATCATGGAGAATGCTTGCAACCTGGCGGAGGCACAGGAAAAAGAGTTTAGGTCTCGATGTATGCTTTGGGGGGTCGCACCTGGAAGAGTCCATCTGGAGCGGGGCGACTTCCGCACAAGCTCGAAGATTCTCGAGAAATTGAAAGAGGCAGATGTGATTCTTGTCAACAATAAGGCCTTCACATCGACCCTCAATGATGCTCTCATCAATATGTTCCTCGATCTCAAGAAAGGCTGCAAGATCATATCTCTCAAGTCCTTCGTATACGACAACAAAACAGCAGTAAATGATGTTGCCACAAGTATACTCGATTTCGAGCATTTCCGGTATCACGAGAACTGGGTGAGCTGGACCGGATCCGATGGAGAGTACTACATCTCCACAAGGAAATAAGGTCATATAGTATACTTTTTCTGCATTCCCTGATGTCCATGTCAATTGGTGTTTATATATCGCGTGGAGTAGGATGGGTTTCAACAGCGTCACGCAGGATACCAAAAACCAAAAGATTTGGCTAGATTTAGAAAAACAGAAAACGATGTAGACACTTACTGCATAGATGGCGCAGCTGTAGATGATACCAGGCATAGCATTGATGGACAATTTTCCTTTTAATGTCGTGTGTTGCTATCATCTATGATTCGTGTTGGGTGACTCGTTCTGGAGATTCAGGGCATCGGCCTCATGGGCCATCCTCTTCATCCAACGATCAACAAGCTCCTTGTTCTCGGCCTGTACCTTAGTCTCCCTTTGCAAACACATATTTAGCTCCATGTTCAGCGCGAGATTCTCATCTTGGACGTCCTAAACATAAACCGAAGCAGTCAGTATGTAATCTCTCTCTCTCTCTTTCCCCTGATAAGCGGACACCACTACCGTATGCGTCGTTCCACCAATTCATCCTCTTCGGGACAGTCTGGTTACGCGGTTTCTTGTATCACGTTCGGCCGCCGCCATGATCAAATCCCCAACCGATACGCAGCGCAGCCCCCAAGAAAACACGAATATACTGCTCACGCGTTTCACGCACCTTTAGGAACTTCCTCTTTTTTTCGAGTTCCTCGTTCAGGTCCCGTAACCTAGTTGTCAATGCATTGCGCTCAGACATTAAATCGGCGATGCGCTTGCTGTCGACTCTATTCTTGGACCGCAAGGTTGCAAGCTCGGCCTCGGCGGCTTTGAGACGAGTCTGTGCTTGACCACGTCCGCGGAGGGCCTCAGCGAGGTCGAGGCGGAGCTGCGCTGCGCCCTCGGCGGACGAGGCCGTAGAGTCGGCCTCGTTGGTAGACGAGTGCTTCGACGGTGCTGGCGTTGCTGCCTTGGTGGTCGTGGCAGTCGGCGGGCCCGCAACCCAGACCAGTTTTTCGGCCTCGAGGGCTGCGACGCGGTCTGCGAGCTGGGAGCCTAGAAGGCGGGCGGCGAAGCAACATGGTCAGCTTTGCGTGGCTACGGATGAGGGAACTAGTGGATGGTTTATATGTCTGAGGGGCGTTTTGGTTTGATGGGTTTGGGTTGAAGTATTGATGCGGTGTGTGTTGACTTGTCCGCTTGTTCGGCCAAACGGGCTGTCAATAAGGTTCTTGCGCTTACAAGCTTCGACTAGGTCCTTGTTCACGGGGTTGTTGCGCTCCGCCTCTTGCAACGAGGCCAGATAATCGTCCCGCCAAGGGGCCATCCTTTATGTCGGTCTTACGAGCTAGGTGGTTGTTTTTTTGTACAGCTCTATACATGGCAATGTGTCGCCTCAAGCCGCACCAACGAGGTCAAAATCGCGGCGCACTGGGGAAGAGATGAAGTGAGGTACCAAACCAGCCCACAGATTGGAATGGAGGGGCAGCCAGGATGATGTCGTTCGGCCACCTGGGGCAGCTAAGTACCTACCTACCCTCGCTACTTACCTGACTTAGGTACTACCTAGGTACCTACCTTCACGGCGGGGTTGAGTACATGTGTACCTGTTAGGCTACTAGTACCTAGATTAGGATGGTAAGGTTTACCTATGTACTTAGGTAAGCGCTCCCTCGTATTCCATAACTATGTACTACATAGGTATTTTAAGCAGCATGTTGTAAACTATGTTAGAATACATAGAATGGAGATAAAATTATTAGTTGGCTTTAAGGCTATTGGGGACAAATCCTTTATCAGCTCCAGTTACCTTGGGCTCAAATTTTCTTCCTTGCTATGTCAAAGTATCTAGCATACCCAATTGTGAAAAAATTTTGGTAGACAGTTTAGCGACTGTGTTATTTGAAAACTCGCCATTAAGCGCTCTGACCTCGTCTAAGGATCCATTCCATGTTCCAAGGACTTTGCGAGTCTCTTTGGGCGGGGTCAGATGTCTTGTCATTGGACCACGAGGCCATCGTTGGATGACCACGAGATGACTAGGTAGTCGCAGTAAAGAACACAGTTGAAATAGGACTTCATGGGGGCATAATCTTCCCGTTCAGTGCCTGTTTCGAGTTGATTGTATGATATGATATTTTGTTACAGGCCAGGCCAGAGTATGGGATTATAGAATCTTCTGGTCAGAGGCAGATAGCAGCACATGCGTGTTCATGATATTTCTCAAGTCTGCCGGTCCATTCTGTGAGTGAAAATTTAATATATTGAATAGAATTATACCAAAGATACCCCACCTTCTAATTATTATGGGCTAAGGCCAAACGCCTAGGAAGAAGCGATTTTAATGTCATACGTGGAAAGGGGGTTTACACCAGAGTGAAATAATGGTATAGGGCTACAAGTTACAGTGTCAATTGAACACACTATGGTTAGCACAAATGAGACAGACCGCTTCAAGAGCAGTGTGTATTGTTGATTCTTTGTTGGAATCAATGGACCTTACTTCACTCTCACCCCATTGGACAGCCTCGCTGGAGGTCATTCGGTGTGACTATCTCCAATGTGAGGGTGTAAAGGACTCTGTTATTGCACAAGTGGCCCTTGTTGACCAACTACAGTATGATCCTATAAATAAAAGGCCTTTCCTTGCCTCTATAGCATGACGTTGGAAAAGATGGTATTTCTAGATTAAGTTGCAGCCGCGGTGTCGCAAACAGCGGTTCGTGATATACTTATGCATTTCTCTTTATTTCCCTTTCTTTCTTTCTCTCTCTCTCTCTTTCTGTGTGTTTGTGTGTGTGTGTGGATAACGGGGGCAGATTGTATTACAATCAGCAATATCACTTGCATAAAAATCTATGTAACAGAAACCTTAATCACTTGAGCTTTAATCGAAAGCAGTTAAATAAAAATTTCAACCTTAATATAACCACACAGTAAATATAAAAGCTCACGAAGGAGGGTAATTAAATTGAATTAAAAACTATATAAAACTAGCTTCTATAACATATCCATACTTCCCATAGTCATTTTCTCCGAGAAATGGCTTCTATGGAGGTACATAGTAGGTTAGAGTTTAAAGCCTTATGCTAACCTTAAGGGCTGTTTTAGAAGCCATGGAGAACTAAGAGCAAATTGGTTTAATAAAATGAGGGTACGAACATTAATGATGTGGACACAGAAGGAAAATCTCCAAAATCTATAGAAAAACAACTAGCGAACCCACCAGGCCGATTTATCCGATCACAGATCATATCCGCGTTGTTTTTTTTGGTATAAAGCATGCTTACCTACAGAGTTCAAGGGTTATACCATGATGGTAGGTCCTCAGACATGAATACACCTGTTAGCAAGGGGTTCACAAATAAAAAAAAATATCAGTGTTATAAACTTCTGCACCAAACTACTCTTAATATTTCTTGATTTATCGTCACTTCCCCGCCTCTCTCGGCACTGTATGACCGGGGATTCCTTCGCTGGTACCTGAGTCCAATGGATATTCTGTTGGCGGTTATAAACGAAAATTTAAGCATCTGCTTGGAGGGTTAGTTCGCATGACTACAGGGTTTTAGCTCGTAAACGCGAAGCTGGTCATATCTGCTTGGTCCAAAAGTTCTCATTGCTCAATAGTACCTATTGATTTATGATACCGACTAAGAAAATGGCTATGTGAAGTATTGTACGGAATAAATTTCGAGGTGATGAGAAATACTGGCCACATACATCACCTAACTCAGGTACTTAGTCGATTTAGGGCTGGTGGCACGACTTGGGAGGTCTTAAGGTCAGGTATCATAATTAAAGTAAAGAGCTTCCTAAGTTGTAATTACAGTGAGATATAGTACCAAAATGAATCTTTGGGAATGGAAATTACCAAGGACACTGATTATGGAATGCCTCAGAAGTAATATAATAACGGAGAATCCACCGAATCTCCTTGACAAAAGGTTCTCAGAGATTGATATTCCTAAATCTAGAAAATCAACTTTTTGATATTTTGCCGCCTTCATTTAAGTCAAAGCCTTTGTGTGCAAGAAACCTAGCTAAAATATGTCCATAGCCATGTCTGAATCTAAAAAGCTAGACAGATTTGAATGATCAGTTAACATCAACACTGTGTGTATCCCCTTGCTCGCTGTATATCGTGAGGGCCACTTTCAGGAGTAAAGAACCAATGGACTAAGTCCAGTGAGCTGGCAACTGATTCATCAGACTTGCGTTATCATCATACCATATTCGTGTAAAGTAAAACCATTGGCCACTCTTTTGGTCACACGATGACCTGGCAATGCTAGTGCGAAGAAATAGAAGAGAGTGTCTGCTCTCTAGCTTGGTGTGTCATGACAATGGCCACGACCTCAGGTCTAGTCCTTGGCTTAGCGAGTGCCGGACATAGGTGGCGAAGTTCCAGTAGTAGAGCGGATATGGATTGGAAGGCATAATTGGGCTTCAGGGTGCATTTAGCTCTGACCCATCCTAGTGAACCAACGGAGACAATTCTGCCTGGCGCCTCTCTCGTTCTCGATGAGTTTTTGAGCCGAAACTTGAGTTGGAACGGCCAACGAGGTCGCAGCCTAGCCGGCCGGCTAAGAGGACCACTCACTTCTATGTGAGCTATGATTTGCTAACCACTAAGCCTTGACCATGAAGGCAAGTCGTGCATTTCGGTGAGAGTCGGGATAATGATTCGTCGGTGGTCATTACGCATTGAGAAACCAGAGGTGGGAAATGAGGGCGCCGCTTTGACGCTCCTCTTACACCCACCCAACGGTAAAAAGGGTGATTCACAGGCGGGTTACCCGATGAGGCCGTCGACGTTGGGTGGTTTCATTATTTCATAGCCAAATGCGGCCATGAAGGCTATGGATGAGGCCGTAAAGGGTCGGGCCTTGTGGTCGTTTCATAAGAGATATCCGCAATGAGGTTACTTATCCCAGAGTCTCTTGCCTGGGGGCGAGACTTCAGTGGATACTACATAAGTTATATACCCCCACATCAACCACATCATGTTGGAACTCAATGCGTAAATACTACCGTGCTCCTTTTGCGTCGCCGCTCTACCTACTTATGGTAAATACTGAGAATAAATAAACTGTGGTACTGTAGGTATTAATTCTAAATGTAGAAGGCAGTAGGTGAGCACCGTTAAGGATAATAAGTTGATGCCGAAGAGGTTGTTGAACCGGCATACACGGACCGCACATTACGAAAGCTACATGGCAGCTACAGGTCCAACGGGTTCATGGTCACGGACCGGACCGGAACAAGCTGCTGATGCTGTTCAATAAGGATCCACCGATCCATTCTCATGTTCTACCTACCTACTAACTACTGGCAGTACTGGGTATCCAGGTAATCGTTGTTCGAGCCGACAGACAACCGCCATGGTACTAGGCGTGAAATGGGATCTGGGCATCGGCAAGTTGCTGGAGCAGTAATCCACATGCTACCTACGGTACTGTAAGCATGGTAGCAATTGTTTTAGAATACATACGTAGGATGGCGCTTTTCACGGTAACGAACGAACGAACTATGTGAGGAGATGCTAAACTTCTGCTGAGCTACTCACAGGAAGTAAGTAGATACTTGGAGATTATACGTGAATACTAGGTACTTTGTAGGTAGGCGCTCGATCAGGAAAGTCGACGATACTAGTTCGAGGGAAGAACAGCCCAAGAGAATGGAAGTCACGGTAGTGTAGCATATCGTAGATCGCCACTAGGCCGTCTTGGGATAAGAGCCGGGACAGGCCAAAGTGCATGCAGAGGCGTGCCAACGGGGTGTCGAGGACGTCAAGGACGTCCTGATTGGCCGGACGCGTCGCACGCGCTCGAGTGGGAAAAACAACACGACGACGCGTCACAGGGCAAATGCTGCTCAAATCTCAAATGATCGAATGGCTGAATGGACACCCCTCCTTGGCCTCCTTGGTCCCCCCAGAGACCTTGTTGTTCCTTGGTCATTGGACTCTACCCCCTGTCCCACCAATCCGGAATCACTCTACGCGCCCACTCTCCCTTGATTTGCCAGACCCGCGTCGTCCAATCGCTTAATCGCTCCTCATTAGTTCCAGACAGGTTTTGCACGCTCGTACGAGCTGATCCTTTGGGTCGCACATTGCATCACACCACGAGCCGTTGCTGCACGATGCCTACAATACATAAGTATATGTGAAGATACATGTACCGATAATACAGGTGCTGGGATGAGCTAACTCAGAGCTTGAACTGGTCCCGTTAAGTAAGGAAAGGAAGCGCGAACCCCGAGGAAGGGATATCGCACATGGCGGCCGGGACAAGACAGATTAGACTGCGCCAACCAACAGTAAAAAGTGAAGGGAAGAAAGAAATAGCTTCGAAGGGAGGACGAGAAAGGTCGTCAATTGGAATATCGAACGGCCGCCGTTTCAACTGTCTTTGAAGTCAGCCAACAGGCCAACCTACTACCTACTAAAGACCTACACCATTTCCCTTAGCTTCGTCTCTTCTCGGCTCAATAAGTGATCGATGTTCCCGCGCCTGCTGAATCAAGCGGCATACCTAGCGTGGTAGTTCTATCGATTCGCGTGCAGCCATTAAGCATCTTTTTCTTCGTTCGTCTCACCTCGGCCGCCGAGATCCTAAACATTCCCGGCGCCTCAGACAAGACACACATTCACCACTTACCACCACTCACACCGATCTACCCATACCAATCTAATACAATACATGTCTGCATTGGGTAGATGTGGTGAGGGAGACCTGCGTTGAGGGCTAGAATCATCGCTATCTCTATCCATACGTACACCACGGTACTGCACACTTGAGGATTGCAGTCAGGCAGAATAGCATACGGTACCTAGTGTACCAGTAGACTATCTAGGTGCATTTCCCATATCTCATCTGTCGGCCGCGGAATATCTACCTATCTACGTACTGTAATCAACGAGCTGGGCTGCGACCTCGACTGTCACTGGGCACACGCAGCGACTCGATCCAACCCAGAGCGATCAGGGCGAGGAGAGCCCGGCTCCACTGCGCGCGCCCCGGGACCTTGTCGACTTCAGTCCGGTCTCCACAGCCCATTAAGAGAGAATCGAGGAGTCTGCGAGGAGTATCTCTTGCTGACCGTCATCGTGTCAGCCCAGAGCTGCTCTGGACCAATCCTCTGCCAGCCTGGGCCTCTTCTGCCGTGGACTGGACCCCACTGGGCCCCACCCTCCTGCTGCGCCCCGCTGGAGTTCCACTGCTGCGTTGGCGCACTAAGCCCTGCTGGGTCAATTTTCGCTCCTTCTCAGCTTGTTCAGTGCCCGGTGTCCAGTCCACTTCCATCACTTCCATTCTTCCTGGTCTTCCTGGCTTTCAATAGAATACCTCATTGCAAGACAGGGCATGCCCACCAGCTTCGCCCACCATTCATTCAATGGGAAATATACCTACCGACCTACACTAGGTATACCTGCCGCGCTCAGTACAGGAAGCAGTGTAGATACCTACCGCACGGGTGCCTGAGCTGGCTTTTTCGGTGCCTTTCAGCACGTACGGGAGTACTATAATCGGCTTGCCCCAGTGCTCAACGTCTCTAACGTCCCTAACGTCCTTCACGCCTGCTACCAGAGGTACTCTTCGTCTACCTGTTCGTCTACCTCCCTCCCTCCCTAGCCCACGTATCTATTTGTACGTACCGTGACTTAATCCCCCATCCGTTCCCTCTACCTACATAGGTACCCGCCTGCCTGCCATCCTGTACCTTTCTCTCTCTCTTCCTGTCCTACCTACCAACATTGGAGTACTACATAGTGTACTTACTATACTTACTCCAACCTCACTATCTACCTGCATACCTGAACTTCCCACTCTCTGCCTTCCTAGGTACCTACCGCACACTATTGCGTGGGTAGACGCTCACTCGCTCTCTCTATCTCTATCTCCTCTCTGTCTCCGTCTCCGTCTCCTGCAGTCGCATTTGCATACCCGCCTGTCACTCACTTCCTCCCCCAGATCTTGACGATCTAGCTCCCCCTCCCTTTCGTCCTTCATCTCCTCTCATCCTAATTTGCCTGCTTTCACACATTATCGTTACCACCTATATGCGTTACTCACCCGTCGCCAACCTCGCTCGCTTCTCAATATACTGTTCTACGCAGCGTTTTTGGATTTCTGATCACGAACTTACCATTGAGAGGTCTTCCTAGCGGAGCGACACCCACAGCGCACGATAATCGCTCTAGCTTCCACGTCTCCACTGCTCATCTAAGAATCCTTTCTGATCCAGGTGAGCCTCTCCTATCCAACTCCATGTCGTCATGGGAGTTTGCAGTGTCTCAAGATCTCGTCAAGAACGATCAATGTCTACCATGGCCATCCCATTGACTTAACATACAGCTAGCTTTTACTCAGCACCCACGAATTGTCGACCAGCTCCGTTCCTGCTTGGCCTATAATGGCCAGACCAACGCGCTTTGCGGCCTCGAATGAGCCGCTACAAATATTTCAGGATGAATTTCAAGATGAAAACTACGGACAGCCAGTACCGTCAATAAGTCGAGCTCCAATGCCGACTGTTGGAAGGCAATCGTCTCCGCGGCGCCCTTTAGAAAGCTCGAGCGGCAACCCAGTCTTCAATCCTCCGAATGGCCGTAGGAAACATCACTCTCCTTACAAGACCTTTGGACATGCTTCGACTACTTCACTAGGCTCATTGCAAAACCGCAAACTGAACGCGATCAATATATGCCCACCCACGTTGAACGAGCAAGGTACCGACTCGATGCCCAAGAAGCCTTTGATGTCGACATTTAAGACGGCCAACTCGAGACAAGTGAGCGTTGACAAGGAAAACTTACATCCCACCTTGTATCCTGCGCCACCTGCTTTCACACTCAATGTTGAAGAGTATTATCCGACCCAAACTGGAAAACGCGCCCTCCTGGAAGCTGCGCCTATCACTGAATCAAGACCATCTAAGAAACCTAAGATTGAAGAGTCTTTCGTTTCAGATTCAACTGGTTTCCCTCCTATTTTCGATGACGGGGCAAAACCAGGTCACAGCTACGCCCAGTTAATTGGAATGGCGATCCTCCGCTCCCCTCAGAAGAAACTTACCCTGTCTCAGATTTACAAGTGGATTTCCGATACGTACAAATTCTATAATGCAAACGATGCGGGCTGGCAAAACAGTATCCGGCATAATTTGAGTCTCAACAAAGCTTTCATTAAACAAGAACGCCCGAAGGATGACCCAGGAAAGGGGAATTACTGGGCTATTGAGTCGGGCATGGAGCAGCAATTTATGAAAGAGAAACCAAGTAGGAAGGCATCTGTAGTATCAGAGAACGTACACATCATGTCCATGGTGCCGCGTGTCGATTACTCTCATTTTGAACCACCCTTTCTCCAAGATGGTCTACCAACACTGCCTACCGTTGCTCAACCCCAAGCTGCTCCTTATCTCCAGACTATGTCGCAAGCGCCAGCAATGGTTGCCCCTGAACCGTCATCGGACGCTACCATCCCTCTTTCTGATAATGTCTGCGCAGAAGAGCTGGGCGATAAGACTCAAGAAACAGATGGTCCTGACCCCGCTGCCCTTCCATCTCCCCTTCCTGCGCCAATAAACTCTTCGCCTCCTATGCCTCGGTTCGTGAAACCAGATAACGATACACCACCTTCGGCTCGAACGAATCTCTGGGGTTCTCGGAAACGTCCTCAAAAGCGCAAGCACGTCTCCATGGACGCTTCAACCTCGGTGGATGATAGTGGTTATATATCGTCATTGGAATCGTCGGTACTTCGACAACAGCCTAATCCCTTTTGCAGCTCTGGCACAAGACACCCTCGTGTTAAGGGTGGCAGAGGCCGGGCCGAGGATGAAATCAGACGTCTCCGTCACTCCTCATATGACAGTCCAACCAAGAGTCGTTCAAATGCGCCTTTGCCAGCGTCTTCTTCTCCTTCTCGGCATCCTAAGCAAATGCCACCTCCTCTCACACCGGTAGTTAAGATAAAACCGCCACCAATGCCGGTCGCCTCAGTCTCACCAAATACGAACCTACAGGCACATCGCGATCATGTGACGTCGATGTTCGAATCACCTCTACGTCGTGTCAGTAATATCTCGGATAATATTGCTAATATGCCTCCATGGAGTCCTTCATTCCTCGGAGACTCCACCAACGACAATTGTATATACGGACTGGACCCTTATCCAGTTTTTGGGATGAACGACTTCAGCTTCTTTGAAGATGTGGCACTAGATCTCGAGACCGAAACGGTTTCAGAACATTCACCTATTAAGAAATCTATGAGAAGGCCACGGCTAGATCGATCCCAGTCTACGAGTGCTTTAGGCGACCTTAGCAATTCGGTAGCTCGGAAGTCTATCACATCAGCTCCCTTTCTAGGGGTTCCTAGCCCAATGCCTGCCTTAAATTATGAATCTCCTAGTAAAGCCTTTGAGGGCATGTCATCGCCAAGCAAGATTTTCTTAGAGTCGCCTTTGGCTCCCAACAGGGCTAGCCTTCAGCTTGCCACGAAGGAAAATGATTGGTCTAATTTCGAGAATAGTTTTAATCCACCTCTTTTTCAGGAGGAAACGGAAAATCTCCTCGACATTGCGCAGGGTTTTGAGAAGATTGGTGGTGGTCGCAGTGTGGTTGGGTCTTGGAAAGGATCAAAGCCTACCTTGGAGCGAAACTATACGGCGCAATGAGTACCACCTGACTCATATACCGTTAATGGCGCCCACCATATATTTATTGGTGGCATTCACGAAGTTGACGACTCCCAAGGCATGGACATATCCGTTTTTCTGACACTATCCTAAGGAACCTACACTCTAGATTGCACCCTGTGCCTCTCTTTGCCTCGCGGCTTCTTATGTCTATTGTTTACTCATACACTTGTAATGAAGTCACGCTATGGGCACAGACACTTTTATGGCCTACGACGAGGAACTTTGCATGTTGGATTTTCCTTCCCAGGCGTTTTGTTTTGTGGACACGGTTCTTTTTTCAATAGGCTACTGCTCCTATTTCTGTTTCTGGATTGGGCACGAATGCAATCTCGGCGTTTGGAAAAGCACGGCTGCTCTCTATCAAGAATATTTTGGCAGTAAGGTGAACCCCGGTTATTGTGGGCGTCTTGTAATCAGACAAGAATGGAGTTGCGTCTTGGAGTTTTGCGTGTATGTATGAGATGAATGAAAGGCGATACTCGTGCGAGGCACGAACGCCTAAACGGGTGGTTCCCTATTTCCCCCCTGCAAACATGATCAGGGGAACTGGCGACTTTGTTATTGCCAGTAAAGAGTTTGGCGTTGTCAATGGATTGGGAGGGAGTTCTGGCCTCCAATGTTTTCGTTAGTAATTGACTAGCCCTACACATGTGAATCGCATTACTTTGTACCCCTCTAGATATGTTCTCTTTAATCAGTGGCAAGTTAAAATTTGAAAAAGCAGTGGATCTGTGATGGGTATCTTGATATTGAGAAAATGATCGAGCCCTTCAGGCACATGAGAGTTCTAACATAACGAGTCCGTGAAGAAAGTCCTTGTCTATCAGTTCCTCTTCATAAAACGCCATAAACGCCACAAACCCAGGTCCGAGCGCCGAGGAACATGTTAGGCGAGCGAGAAGGCTTGTATTTACAGCGTATTGGCAGGGATACATCCTCGGCGAGCGAATGTGAAGGTATGTTTGTGGCGGTGGTTGTTGGTAGTAGTCATAGTAGTCGTTGACAAACAAGCAAGCTAAGAGATCACCTGGAGTGTTTTTGGTATAGTAATATTATCCCCGCTAGTAAATGCCCATGCGCGTAGCCCAACCGCTGTCTTTCTGGTTGACATTGATCTGATAAGGGAAGGGGTTCGTCTCGCTCGTCGTAATGGGCGGGATGTGATCCTTATAAGAATTTACACAGGTCACGATTTTCATGGCGGTCGTAAGAAGTGTCTGCTCCATAGCTTTGCGGACCTTAGCTCGCTCTGAAAGAAGTACCAGAATCAAGTCAGCAGGTAATATATCAATCGCGAAGGGTAGGAGACTAAGGTAGGCTTATTGGTTGTTATCCCAACTTCTCGCTACTATGCATTTCGGCATTTTTCGTCAAGATTTGATCTGATCTAAGCCTTTGAGGAGATAAAACGGGCCTGTCTGGGCTGGAGGCAAGGGGCTAGCCGGAATGATTGCTTACCACTCTCCGTCCTCGGTTCGGCCACGGTGACCTTGACGGTCCACGATTCCCAGCAGACCTCCTCGTCGCCGCCGCCATAGGCCGCACGCATGTACCAGGTCTTGCGGCGCTTCTTCTCGAAGAATTGGACGGATATATTGCCGCGACCGCCTGCAGCTGCCGCACCACCGCCGCCACCACCACGCTGTTGCGATAGGTGGTGATGAAGAGGCGTGCTGGAACTAGTGGAATGCGAATGCGTTCGTTCGGTGTCGAGTTCACGCGCCAGCTCAGCAGCGCGCTTCTCAATCATGGTGTCGAGCTCGGCATCGTCGACGAAAGGAAGAGTGATGTCAAGGACTTCGCGCGACCCCGGCGCTAAAGAGGGGAAGAATCGGTGGAAGAATATCGTATGTAATATGCCTGTTTCATTTTGAAGGGCATGTTAGAGGAAATCGGCTCAAGCTTTTTGGATTGCTGGGTCGCGACGCAATGCATCGGCCGAGGCTTTTTATATGCTTCATATGACGGATGGCATGAGATGCGGGGCATTGTAGAGGAGCAAAAAGAAAGAGACAGAAATATACTTGACGATCAGCGGACGGCTTACCTCGAACGACATCTCTGACGGATGTTGGGTCGGCAAAGGCCTCTAATATGAATTCTTGCGGTCTCTGTTGCTCCATGCTGGGACTCCGGGGGTGAGTTGGACGATTGACACGTGGGAGAGTTTTTTGTGACGTGCGACCTCTGATGAGGCCGCTTGCTTGGTGAGAGGCTGCTGCTGTCCTGTTCTCTGGCGCCAGGCCAGCTTTCGGTTAGGCTTGGAGGGAGCGGGCATGCCAGATGGCGGGGTTCCTTCTTGGGTTTGCGCTTTCTTGGAGATGCGATGGGGGGGGGGGAAAACGTCATACGAGCCACACAGATGGACGTGGCTGTGCTTGATCATGTACCTAGGTGGCTGTACCTAGGTAGGTACATAGGTATCTGGTAGGTACATGCATGTATGTACCTCCGGGGGTTACCGCCGTAGCACTCACGCGCATGCCGAGGTACACGTCAGGATAAGCCAAGGCTAGGGAATTAGCATAACTCATCATCAGTACTTAGATAGTTCGTGATATCTCGACCCGACCCCGGGCGCCTCTATCCTCATTCCCTCGTCCCGTGGTACTCTCGCCCAAAGGCCAGGCGGTATGAAGGGGTCAACCAACCCCGTCTGCACTGACTAGCCCAACGATAACGACGACGCTGACGACGATAATTCTACCCTATACCCAAAACGAAACCCAGTCGATTTCATGCCGCCACAGCAGTGATCCTAATCAACCACCCCTAGCTTCCCTGAAGGGACGCAATCCTTCTTCCACACTGCTCGCAACTCCTCTTCAACATGCTATCGACTACGCGGCGGTGGTTCCGTCGCAACCGCACCCCGATAGCCATTGGCGTCGGTATCGTTGGTGCCGGATACCTAGCCACCCAATATGTGTTGAATAAGATCAATGATGCGCGCGAGCGCATGAGCAGCGATCGCATTGCGAAAGAGAAGTCAGCTAGCTTCCAGACAAATTCGATACACGAGTTAAGAAAACTAACCACCGTACAGCCTACGTCGTCGATTTGAACAAAATCAAGAGGATTGCACATACACCATCCTGGCATTGCTCCCATCAGCTACCACCAACGTCCTCGAAGCGATGAACACTGAGAACATTACACTAGAGATTCAGCAGATGAAGGGTGCTACAAAAAATGTGCGCAGTGGCGATTCGTCAGTTGTAGCGCCGAGCATTGCAGACACCACCATGACAGAAGAAGAAGGCAAAAGCGTAGTGAGTCTACAGAGTGAGAGTGGCGTTCACGCAAGCCAAGCAACTCTACCTTCTGTTTCTAGCGCAGGGGATGCTACACAAGACAGTGGCCAAGCTCTACAAAAGCCTCGGAAGACTAAGAGGCAGCTCTGGGATGATTTAACGATAAGCTGTGAGCGCCCGCGATTCCATGCGCCGAGCACCTTGGAAGGAAGCCGTCTGGACTAACTAGAAATCTCCAGCAATAACACGAGCTTTTACGCTTATATATACAGTAGCGCTTTTGACGATGCTCACCAGAATCCAACTGAACCTGCTCGGTCGGAGAAGCTACCTGTCTAGTGTTATTTCACTAGCAACGGGTGCACCACAATCCACGATAAATCTTGAGAACAATGATGATGATAACTCCGAGCAGACATATGGTAGCGACTTTGAAACAAATCGGAAATATTTAACCTTCAGCTGGTGGTTATTGAATCGGGGCTGGACTGACGTTATGGAGAAAGTCGAGACCGCCGTTCGTGAGGTCTTTGGGCATCTTAGTCCACGTGACCTTTTGAGCTTTGATACTTTTTCTCAACTATCGCTCGAAGTGCGCAAGAAAGTCGAGACGAAGTCAGACACTGAACGACCCGGCGCACAGTGGTTACCGTTCCTCCTCCCCCCGACGCCGCTAGAGGATTTTGTCTTGAAGGAGTCTGGTGTTTTAGGTGACAGTGCTACGGCCACTGCAAATCAATCCGGTAGCTCGTCAACTTTATCATCTGTATCAACCATAACACCGGCCCTTCGCCGCCTTCTGGACGAGACATCTGATCTTGTCGAATCCCCAGCCTTCTGTCACGTGCTAACTCTCCTCCTCGATGCTGGTTTCTCTGTCCTGCTGAACAAGAAATTACTACCTGGTGCGTTTGGCTCAGACGTTCCATCTACAAGCTCTACAGCCGAGCCTTCAGCAGAGGCTGTTGCAGACCCCGCGAGCCGCGCGGTCTTACTCCCTAAGATCCTTTCCGTGCTAACGCGACAAGCACACGCCATCGGAAACGGTATGCCAAACGAGTATTTACAGGAGATGGAATATGTTCAAGAACTTGGCGCCTTTGCTGCCGTTGTGTATTCAAGCAACTGGGAAAATGAGATCCACCAAGACGAAGAACTTGCCGCTGCCGCAGCTGGACTCAGCGACGCCGCTGCTGCTGCTACGTATGGAGATGGAGCCGTATCTCAGCAAGAGCATGAGCACAGCAACAGGGTAAGGCCATCCCAGACTACGACAGTGGACGAGAGTGTTGTTATGGTAGATCCCTCACAAAGTTCCTTCGAGAGCGCGTGGGAGAAGGCGTTAGGATCTTCCCAGACGGCGTCACAGTCACAACCCCAGCCATAGCCGAACTTCTTCCTCCCTGCACCTCGAATTTGAAAACCAGGTGAAGTCAATATAGCTTGGCCAAAACAGAGAAACTCCGACTCATTCAAGATAGTCCCGTACCGTCCCCGCGGATCGTTACGAAGTCGAGACCACGCGTCCTTCTAAAGTTTAATAAGAGCGAAATGAAATATAGTGAACTATGATATGTATACTGCAAGCAGGCCTAGACTGGGATGAACATGCATGCACCAACCTATACGCGTTGTGCTCAAATTTAATCTGGGCTAATAGGGAAAATGGCTGGGCCGTTAGACTACATACAGACAGAACTTGGATACGAGGGACGAAAGACATGGGCTTCAGCTGTTGTGTATATTATTACTAATGGTATCTGGGGTGCCCAAGTTTGGGTGTAGTCTCGTCCATAAACATAGGGTAGACATGTATTTTATATTATGGTATATTCCAGGACACCGTATTCATGACTGGTCAAATTTCGCTGGTCACCTCCCATGTTACAGCATCGATCGTTTGCTAGCTCCGCCAAAAAGATGGAATGGTTTCAACTGATCAGGGAGCATGTTACTAGGCACACCTTAGGCAGTTTAGATTTTCAAATTCTAGACGTGGTGGTCTTGTCTTATGTTTCTCCGCAGTTACCAAACAGTTATGTTCGATTTTTGCGATGGCATATTATGGCCTGCACCGTGCTCTACCTCGCCACTGGTTGGTTGCCGGGTAAGGCTGAGAAGTAAACGTCAAGAGGTGACTCGCCTCGTTCACATCAATCCACGAATGAACTTGTCCAGACCGAGCTCGAACATCTCGTTCCGCACACCCTCGCCACCTTTGTGCTCTACAGGTGACAGGGGATTTTTCACCACTATAGTCAAGGTTGTCGTTAGTTTTTAATCATATGGTAGCTTGTTTCAGCAGCAGCGTGCGGACTCCAACACTCGCATGATCCGAAACAAGCAGAAGCATTTAGTGGGGAATCGGTGCTCTCAATCTTACCGTATTCAACCCAGAGATTGATGTAGATCTGGTGTAGGACATTGCGCATGCTGAGGGCGCCGGGCTCGGTCAGCAGGGCAAAACGAAGGTTCGTGGGCGTCTCGTAGTAGTGGAGCTTGTACTGCCCGGTGCGGAAGGATATGAAGGCGTCGTCGTCGCCGCCCAGCTTGCGCACCATGTTCCGCAGGCTGAAGACGGTGCCGAAGATCAACTTGGCATCATCGGCGCCCTTGTTCCGGCGCGGCTTAGCGGGGGCTTGCTGCTGTTGCTGTTGGTCTGCGTCGGTGCTATTGGCTTGTTGTTGCTGTTGTTGGCGGTGCTTCTCGGACGGGGCGAGTCCTGGCGAGGTGGCCGTCGCTGCGGACGACAGCCATTGTTTCGAGTAGATGCACTCGGCTATGAGAACAGGTTGTCAACGAATGAGGCCAGGTCTCTTTGCGGCTTGTTTGTTTGTTTGTTTTCCTTCGCGCCCTTGCTTGTGCGCCTAGGCGCACGAAAGTGTATAAACCATAGTGCTGCCTGCTCAGGGCAGTCATGACATGTCATGGCCATAGGCGCAACACGCGGCTGACTCGGATTGATGAGGCCGGGGCAAGGCTCGACTGGACTTGACGTGACTTGACTTGACTTACTGTGACGGTCAAAGATGTACAAGGAATAGACCTGGACGGGCATGACGCCGGCGCGGGCTTCTCTAGCTGAGACTAGAGGTTGAGAGCTCACATGCCCGTGATCAATGGTTGTCGGGGATTTCAGCCTGCAATGAAGCGGTTGGGTTGAGGCTGTTTGAGGCTCTGAGTTCAGTGATTGGAACTGTACCTCAGTGTATGTACCGCCTGTATTAGCGCCGAATACCTAGGTACAGCAGGCGGCAGGTACACCAGGCACGTAGGTACCCCTACTGGGCCGCACTTTATATCCCAATGTTTCTTATCCTAGCAGATATGCGACTTGGCCGGGGTCCAACCGAATTTGGTAAACTGCGTGCATCATGCATGTACTTATGTACTTAGCTGCGAGAGTGTCGTGGATGCCGACATGGTATTTTCAAGCTCTCGCCAACCTCAAACACACGGGTACAGCGGCATGTCCGACGGCAAACACGGCATCGCTCTACAGCGGATTATATGCCAACCCAGTGGAAACAAGCTCGGAATGTGCGGTGAGTGAACTTGCCTGTAACCTAGGACCCAGATCTGCCAGATACCTATATCTACGAAGTAGATGACCTATCCAGGTACATAGATACCTAGTAGTATATGTACCTACAGAGGAAGTTACCATAGCTTTCCATCGTAGCTAAGGACTGAAGGTGTCTGGGTGGGTATAGTAGGTACGGTACTCCGAGTCCTCCCCTTAAAGGTGCCTACCGAGCTACCTATCTGGCACACAAGATGTGTTGTGTTATTCATACTGGAATTACCAGGCTGATATCATACTTCCAAGTCTACCACCACATCACGTTCATCTGCCAAGAAGGTGGCCTAGATGCGCTGTAGGGCTTAAAATTCTTTGCTAAAAATAGTTACACACGTTGTCCAAGTACCGAATGTATATATAGTAGAGGCAAATTGATTTCAGTAGGTTCCTTTCACATGGAAAAGTAGGTTATTGCCTACGCACCAGAGTGCTCAGTAAAAGGTTTCAGAACACACTACTGCTTGCACCAATGTAGCCTGCCAAAATTTGAGTGACAATGGAATTGACAGTGACAGCCCGTGTCTATGGTGTGATGTTCTAGACTTGTCAAGCTCTCACTATGGACAGCCCTACGACATTTACATGGTCCAGATATAGAACAGATAGTATAGATACCTAGTACAGATACAGTGCAAGGACTTGCCAGAACAGACAAGGACTTATGGCTTCCACGGTTCTTGATTGATTTTCTCGATTGATTGGGCAGCCCTCCAGTGGCGCGAAGCCCCCAAACTGGGGGTGTTCTTATTGCTGCAACAGGGATCGCTGGGTGGGTAGGGCAAAAGGTGCAGACGTGATTTGCTCCATGTACGAATTGGTTGCTGTTGGGCTGAACCGAGCCAAAGCTGAGAGCCTTTCATCTCCTCCATCTACATAGCACCATACTACTTCCTCTAGGTGGGCTTTGACCTTTCCGGCACAGATTGTGTATTGTTGTGTTATATTATTGTGTTATATTGTTGTTTTGGTGGTAGGTAGCGCAGGTCGAAGAGGTCTAGGTACTACGACCATCCCAACCACACCTACAGGACCATACATACAGGCACTGGCATACATTGCAACACCCATCCATTTCGCAAAGAAAGGCAAAAGAAAGGCAGGCTCTGATCACTTTTTCTCCCTCCCTCTCTATCCCTCTCTCTCTCTCCCATCTCCTAACCCTATAAATACGTCATTTATCTCATCTGCCATGTCTCCCTCTTGATATTCGTATTCCCCCATTGCTCTCTATCTATCTACATATGTAGGGAGCTATCCGCATTCTGCTCTACACGCCCCGGTCATCTGGTTTTTCGACGTTAGGCTTTCCTAGTCGAGCTGTGCCAGTTCCCCATTGCTATTCGTCATCTTGGCAGGCTCGTGCCCGACGGGATCAGCCCCTCGACCGCACACACGCCATGATACAACCACCCACAACGGCTTTATCGGCAGGCCCAGACGACGCCGCGAGTATTTCAGAAATGTCCGCCGCGATAAATGCTCCTCACAGCTTCCCCGCTCCGCCATCGCCGCAACCACACATTAGCATCGAGCAATTTGCTGATGCCGCAAGTGAATCAGCGCCTGCCCCTCTCCTGTAAGTAGAGTTTATGTTACTTATGTAGGTAGCTCGGTATACCTACTACCAGTCGCGAAGCTGCCCCGCGATGCACCACTCTCGGACTCTGCCATCTAAGACATGCATCCGTTAGATCAACCCCCCCTGCTGCTCCATTAAGTCCGTTGAGACATCATAAGAGGACTCCATCGCAGCACCGCGAAGTCAAAGTAAGAATGCACGCCATCTGCTGTGCGAGTTGCCTGTGCGCTAGAGTGGGCTAATGATGGGGTTTCGCCCTCCTGTTCTAGGAGACTCTGGACGCCAAATACACCAACGACGAGGTTGACGGTATATCGCAGTCTACCGTCAATCAATATAGAATCGGGGAAGAGATTGGCCGTGGCTCTTACGGCGCTGTCCATCTAGCTACCGACCAGTTTGGAAACGAATATGTAAGTGGAGGCGTCATATTCCTTGTCAAGGCGAGAATTGCTCACCTACCTCGCCACAGGCCGTGAAAGAATTCTCAAAATCCCGCCTGCGAAAGCGGGCGCAGTCGCATATCCTGAGACGTCCTGGACCTGGGACACCACATCACCAGGCACCCGGGACGGGACTGAACAACTTCTACAAAAAGCAATTCGGTCGCCAAGAGGATGCCGAGGCCAAAGACGCCTTGTATTTGATACGCGCCGAAATTGCCATCATGAAGAAGCTTAATCACCCCAACCTTGTAGCCCTGATCGAAGTCCTTGACGACCCCGAAGACGACTCTTTATATATGGTACTAGAAATGTGTAAAAAGGGTGTTGTCATGAAAATCGATCTGGATCAACAAGCTACCCCCTACGAAAGTGAACTTTGCCGTACTTGGTTTCGTGATCTGATTCTCGGCATTGAATATTGTGAGTCTGGAATTATTGTTGCACAATTGGATTCTGGTGACACTTTTTAACACGCCGATAGTGCATGCTCAAAATATCATCCATCGTGACATAAAACCTGACAATCTTCTCTTGACAGAAGACGATGTGCTCAAGATTGTTGATTTCGGAGTCTCCGAAATGTTTGAAAAGTCAAACGAGATGATGACAAACAAATCTGCCGGTTCCCCCGCCTTTATACCGCCAGAGCTCTGTCAGGCGAGGCATGGAGACGTTTCCGGCAAGGCTGCTGATGTCTGGTCAATGGGTGTCACACTGTACTGTCTGAAGTATGGACAACTGCCATTCAACGGGCACCATGTCTTAGATATGTACGAAGCCATTCGAGAAAAGCCATTCTTTCTTCCTGAAGGCGAGGACGCGGACTTTGCGGATTTGATTACACGGATCTTGGACAAGAATAGTATCACGAGGATCACATTGCCGGAAATCCGAGTAAGGTTTCGTTGGACAGATCTATGTGCCGAACAATATTGACTGTTTCTAGAACCATCCCTGGGTCACGAGAAATGGGGAAGATCCTCTTCTGCCCGAGGTAGAAAACTGTTCTGACGTGGTGGAAACACCCAATGAGCTGGAGGTGAACCACGCTTTTACACGCAAGATGGACCACCTGATCTGTGTCGTGAGTAGTTTATCCCGTCGTTCTATGTTGTCATCGTCACTAAACCGCCACATAGTTAAAAGCCATACGGCGTTTCAAGGGCCTTATTTCTCAAAGTCGAGTCACAACTCCTCGAACTCCCTATCCGCCCAGACTACTACCAAAAACAATAACGAAGGCAGAGCTTCCGATATCTTGGCCAGCTTCGCAACAACAATCCGACGCAGCCGAGTCAGGTCAGCAAAAGTCTGTAGCGCAAGAAGCAGCTGAGCTTATTGAACAGCGTAACGCCTACCTCAGATCAGGTCTAAATCTCGGGCCTATAAGCTCGGAACAGAAAATCGAGCCACAATTCCCGGGCTCCACCGAGAAAAATGCATTATTCCTCGGTATTGGCACAGGTGGAGAGAACGAATTGTCTTCACCGGACAACATGGCCTTCGCGGAGTCGCCCACAGGCATCGACTTTGACGTCTACAATCGTGCTTTCGAGACAGAGATCAAGAGAATTCGCTCAGACAGGAAGAAGAACCGATCCTGGACCTACATGACGAAGATGCTCGGCGAGAAAGAGATGGACAAGTACGTTGGGGACGACTGCATGATCGTCGAGGCTGGAAAGTCCGCCGCGGCGAAAGCGCAGTCTCTCGTGCACAAGGCCGAATGTAGCCGTCGGGAAAGCGAGCAGCAAGAGGACCCCGATTCCGAGGGAGGTTCCCAGAGAGCAGTTGAAGTAGCAAAGGAAACGGGATCCAGATTGGCAGACCTCGTAGTATCGCTGACAAGGGACATGAAAGAGAAAGCAACGACACGAGAGGGAGGCGATTGATATATAGTGCTGGAGTATCAAACACTGACCAGCGACTTTGAATCTAAAGATATTAATCAGTCTAGAGGGGGGGCGGGGGTTCAGTCCTTCCAGTATCACTACTGTGGCAATATATCGATGGTCGGTGGTATCCGAGCAGCTTGAAATAATATAGCATACTTGAGAGTCGTTGACATGGTTCCCCAACTACCTATTTTGTATTGCCGCCAATTTGCTCATGTGCCTAGATACGAGAGACAAGGCACGTAACTCCTTTACAAGGAAAGAAGCATGTACACCAGCCGCATACTGTTTGCAATCCCCTTACCCAATCATACCTAGTCATGTGCCAATTCTGGATCGGTCATGCGTGGTATCCATGTACATCGCTGCAGTGAGTCCAAGTCTTCCACTCTGCCGAGACTATAAAAAAAAAAGACGGCCCCTCTATTGTAGGCAAAGCACATCTGATTCACTCTGACATCATATTCTTAGTGTGCTAGATACCAGTAGATGGTAGCGGCATAGAAAAGCCAAGCTAGACATGACTGCATTTCCTACCACCATTACGTCGAGTAGCATCGGCATTACGACGAGCTACCGATATAAATCTAGTTTACACGTCAGGATATACGTTTAAGTATGCTGGTCTTCTCATATCACACGGCGCTGTATAAGGAAAGTCGACCCGACGGATACCAGAAATGGTTCGTAGGAGCCAGCTTGCACAAATTGCCTGTGTATATCTTCTTTGCGGGGATACATGATAATGCTACTTGGAATCGACGGGGACGAGGCAAGCCAAGTCAGCCAAGGCCCAGCTTGGAAAGAGACACGTCGACAAGAGCCGGCTAATCACCTAGGCACAGGGCGTCAGTGTTTGATGGGGGTCTAGCTTACTCTAGCATGGAAACGAGTGGTTTGATTGTTAGGACTTCACATACGTTTAGTATTCGTAGCCAGTTTATCTTGCCATTGGTAAAAGGGGGAGATTCCCGATAGGCATGTTCAGCTCCCGCCCAGAGCCCAAAAAAAAAAAGACGGTTGTACTGACCCCGCCCACGTTGACGTGGCTTTAGTAGGAGGTGTAACGAATTCGAGCTTATGATAGCTTGTATGTGCACGACACGAGGTTTCGTCATTCCCATCATAGTGGAAATGTCTGACCTGCGTTGGACTGTTTTCATGTGATTTCCCGCCCCCCTTGCCTCCTCGAGTGGGTTTCGCATTGGGTCGCCATACTTTCGGTTATCTGTCAGCTCGATGCGTGGTAAGTGTATACATATACATAGTGGTGCGAGCACGCGATGCCGGCCGGCCAAACGGGCTTCGGGGCATGTGACCATCTGAGAGCATCTAGCGGAATCTAGGTAGGTAGGGTATCGTGCGCTTTCGAGGGAGATTAGTCTCGAAAGAATGTGCCCCGCGGGACATCGTGCGGAGTTGGTGGGGGGCAAGCATGCGGGATCCTACCATATTCGAGCAAGAGGAATCCTTACCGAGTAGGAGAAATGGCCAACCCCGCGTTTTGCCTCCCCAGGTTTCAGGGTTCAGATATGGTACCCCATACATTTTTACTTTGTCTCGACGAAACAATATCCAAAAATCTCTCTCACCGCCAAGACGCAGCAGCCAAGGCCCCTCTGATCCGACGAATGTACATCCAGTATTCAGCTTTGGTCCTATTCACAGAAGAACCGACAACGTTGAATATCGCGATGAATAGTTGGCCTACTGTCTGGGTATCCTTCGAGTTGAGGGCGTGACCTGTTCCTATTGCCGTCCGACTTGTTGCTAGATCTTACTGAAGCCTCGCTCTAATCTCTCCTGGCCATTTAAGTCTGTAGCTATTCGATGGAGCGGCTGCTACTCCGCTGTTGGGTAGCTATAGCCGAAGACTATATAGTAGTCCCCCTTTGTATGGGACGTCGAGACGACATATGCGAAGGCTCAAGGCAGAACAACCAAACCCCCAGGTGGGAAAAGACCAAGGACCGATGGGTGACATCTGATCAGGTCGCTTACATGCGGCTGTGAATTTAAAACAAGGGTCCTTGGATAAAACCTCTATAGCATAACTCCACTTTGGGTGGTCATAGTGAAGGGTGGCTAGTAGATGTCGAAGCATAGTTGAGAAGTCCTGGGTTAATCAACAAGGTATTTTAGGTATGACACATGGCGGTACTTGAATCTGCCATTATAGACACTGCTCGGTATGTACTATACCATAAATTGTCACAATTTCCATGGCGCGGTGACCAGCACCGAAAATGAGCACAAGGGATATCAGGTTCGTCCAACGTGTGGAATGAGGGATTTCCCAGAAGCGGGCGGGAGCGTATCGTGTAGACAATAGTTTTCGGGCTGGCAGGTGCTCCGGGATATAACTCATACGAGGTGAGTTGGAGAAACACATTTCATCCTCTAATGGATGTGTGCCCTCCAATCAAACTTGGGCGGCTCGGTGGACGTTTGGCGATACGCCGAGCCGCGCTGATGAAGGGGTTCAATACCCGTCATCCGCTTACAAGAATGAACGACACTGATTCGTTTATCAACCCGCCAAAAGCAGCATAGGAGCATCTCGAGCGTCGGTTTCTTTGCTTTCAGAGCGACATGCCGTATCTTGCGTATCCAAAGGGTGAGCGAAGACAGAAATCTTCAGGGGGTTGGAATGCAAGACAGGGGAGGTTTGCTGCAGTGATCAAAGCAGCCCCTATCTCGTGTCACCAAGCTGATGCTGGGTGGTGCAGGTGGATATTCGACCAGTCATGTTATGATATCAGACCACGGGCTTGGATGGATGCCGATACGGATGTTACAAGGCAATACCGTACACATGTTGTCTGTTGGTTGATGATCCGATAAGAGGAGAGGATCTTGTGAGGCTATTTTGAGCTGTTTTGAGCTTTGTCCAGTAAGAAGGCGTTCTGATGGCGCAAAAGTCGGGACGTGAATTGGCCTGAAAGCCCACAGATTGAGACAGAAGATTGAGACATCTGACTGGCTTGCTTACATGTCGCAATACCTCCTGTACTTACTGTAAGTAGAGATATGTAGCTATATGAAGAATATCACTTTCTGCAGGAAGCTATTCGGTTTAGAGCGCATGACGTCATCAACCAAGAAGCTATCTCCATTTCTGTAGACACGATAAAAATACCATGGGTAGGTATTAGAATACCATGCTGTAACTTTGGCTCTGAGCACTTCTCGTACCTATTCAACTTAGGGGCATAGTCCTACTTGTTACATACATGTATGTACTGAGTGTGATAGGTACATACAGTTAGTCGTACGTCGCCGTCGTCAGCATCAGGGAGATACAGACCCATCAGTTCGTACTAGGCAATAGGTATGTAGGTACGCATTGCCCAGACAGAAGCCCACAGTAGGTAAATAACAGCTTTTGCGTTGCAGACTGTAGTCCGATTTTATGTTCACCGATAATGTGGACATGTATATGTCAGTGTAATTAGAGCAAAGTTGCTCCTCTTACATAGGCACTAAGCAACCATGGAGATAACAGGTAATTATGGCAAACAAGGCTTTTGTAGTTTGCATTCCGACATGTCTGAATAACATGGAAGCCTTCAGTTTTCTTGCCGGCCTGAGAGGTTGGTCGGCGGAACAAAACATCTCTCTCCTTCCTGATACTGCTTGTTGTGGATCTGGATGTTTACCCTTATCATCCTAATCTGTTTACCAGCACACCATGTACTCGTAATACGCCAATCCAACTACTGGGCCTCTCTTCACAAACACCAGGCGAGCCAGGCAAGTCATCCTCTAGTCTCAATGCTGTAGGTGTGTAGGTGGAGTGGATAGGTATGTCCCTGGTCAAGTGAGTGTGGAGTAAGAGCAGCGGTAGCTATTTTGATACTCAAAGAAGCCACTAGTATTTCTCTTCTTGTCTCTGTGTTTACTTACTTGGAAGTAGTAGGTATGCAGTCATATGTATAGGAGAGGATCTAGTCATCCTGCAGGGCCACCGCTGCAAGTGAGCAGCGGGCTCTCTGGTGGGGTCCAAATTGAGGCCTCCGCGACCTTAGAAGCGAATAACATCAAGGTGAGCTTCAGGATCCCTTCTTGGCAGAGTGGACAGGAACTGCACTTGCAGGCAGGTGAGAGCTTCGCATGCCTGCAGCCCGCCGACATATGCGAGTAGCCGGCCGTGTACATGTAGCAAAGCAATCATTAAGCTTTACTGGATGACTCGACAACAGCCGCACCATCGACTTTTTGCCCTACGTCTTTGATTATAAGAGGGCCACAGGAAAGGAGCGGGAGCGGAGGGGCCCGTCGTCCTCGAAAGGAAGTTGTTTGTCGTGACGTGATCTTGATACACTCTGCATTACGTATAGTAGAGCAACCCTGATCGAGATAGGCGGTGTCGATGTCGGTGTACCCTAGCCGGGCGAATTGGGGAGTGCGAAGTGGCCTGAATAGGAGAAGCCGTTCAGCAGTGAACAGGTCGGGTGTGTTGCAGCTCGCCTGGGTAGAGCAGGTAGACTCAAGCCAAAGGTCTGACAGAAAGGTCTGACAGCAGCCGACGTATCAATCACGTCCGAGCTTGCCCGAGTTTTTTATTAGATGCCGCCGTTGGCGTGCTGGGCCGGGATTGGAGCGGTGAGCCAAAGCGCTTTTTGGCGGCGAGCTCTTCTCTGTACAGTTTGTTAGATGGGGAAGTCTATCGAGCTACAAGATGTCGATGCTATGTACATGGCAACGGAAGGGTCCGTAAACAAGGCTACAAAGGCGTTGCTCCCTGCCCGTCCATGCCCGTCCAAGCCTGTCCGATATGGCCTGGCGGAAGAGCTGCCGATTGCCCTGCATACCTCTTCGTATGCCGACTCCAATATGGCAACAATCTTGCAGAAATGCCTCATACTGAGTACATACATGCAGATACTAGACACGGATGGAATCTTCGTCCATGCAAGTAGCCATGCATGCATAGCTGTACTGCTACAGTATGCAGCATGGGCCCAGTCTTCGTTGGATGCTACTGTCTTTCCAATCACTTTCCAGGCATTCACATAGGTAGGCATGGGAGGCAAGCTATGTGTATAGGTATGTTATGGGCAAAGTCTTACGTGCGGGTGCTATCCGCTTAATGTCTACCTAAGTAGGTACCTCTTTTCACAGACAGGCTAGACTAGTCGCAATAAACCGACCTACAACAAACTAAATACAAGCTTCAGCCTTCTTATTATTTTTCTTATTTATTTTTTTCCTCTCCCTTTTATCTTCCACAATCTTTGGCCATGTCAAAGAAGGGGGCGAGGGGAGAAAAGGCGGGTGACAAAAATAAAAAAAAAAGGCTAACACAAACAATTGTAGACGCTAGGTGGCCTTTTGGCATCACTGTTACTACATACCGACCTTAGAAAAATCCCTAGTTCGCCGATGCACGTGGCTAGAATACTTTTTGTCATCTACCACGCTACTTTGTATGAGGCTCTTTGGTTTGCAGAGAAAAACCAAGCCGTCGACTATACCTACAGTTATAGTTAGTACAGCTCGGATGCCAGGCGGAAGAGGAGAGGTATCTCTCATATATCAAACCTTCCTGGACAGCCATACTATGTATAAGGTTTCTGAATACCTAGATAGGCCATGGACAATCCAACTAACCCTAGCATGTGTCAAAACTCGTGAACAAGACCATATGCACACCTTCTGCTCTGAAACCCTACGGATTCCACTAGGGTGGGGGGGGGGGGGGGGGGGGGGGGGGGGGGTGGGGGGGGGGGGGGTGAAAAAAAAAAGAACGGACGAGAAAAAAAAAAAAAAAAAAAAATAATACAGAACAAAAAAAAATTA